ATGCCCTAGTTCTTCTATGTGTCCAGATAACGTCGTGTATATTTATTGAGGTAAATTTTAAGCAATAATTCGCTACCAATGAATCAACGAACCTGCGTGAAGACATTTGGCTCCAATTGTAATCAAACATTCAATCGCCGAGCCCTTGCAATAAAAACATACCAGGTGCAGCATAACTAGTGGAACGGCTCTGTATTCTTCTGGGTAAGGTACTTTTAGTAAAGGCCAAAGTCCAAGGTCAATAGTGACTTTAGATTTAACCTTGATTGTTAGAATACTGGTCATCCCTTAAGGTCAAATGCTGGTCAAACTATTAGGATTAGACCTCTAGTCACTTTCAACAAAAATTTCATTATTGACAAGGTCACCATTAAACTCCTCCTGTAAACTTAATAAAGATGCGTCATTGACCTTTTTCAAAAATACCTCCCCTTGAAAAATACAGTGCCGTTTTGTTACTTTTGTGAGACCTATTTTTTAACGAAGAAGAGGTTTCGTCATCGATTCAGAGAAACTTTATTTATAAAGGTAAATTATATCACATACTAAAATGTGAATTTTTTTTGATTTTTCAGTAGTTACCATACACATTTGTCAAGTCAGTTAGTAAGTGGTTTTTCATCATGTCATCATTTTCCAAGAGCACTCCACTCAGAAGTTCCTTAATATTTTTTTTTGGAAAAAATGAAACTCTGATGGTGCTATCAGAGCTAAATGGTGGATGATACCGTAATTCCGAACGAAACTTGTCCAGTCGCGTTTGTCTTCTTGCCGACATAGACCTGAAACGTAATGGCAGCATACTGGGCCAAGAGAGTCTGAGGTTGAACGATCGTGACGTGACGGGATGCGAGGACTCACATTACACCTACCGTCAGTATCATACTTGATGTAGCGCTCTGAAAATGCAGGCACGGGTATATCATCCTTGAAAATAGTATAATTAAGAAATCCCACGTCAATCAGCATGATTTCATCTTTCCAGGTCTTGGATTCGACGTCGCATTTCCAATTATCAGACTTAGATGCATTTCTGGACTGTTTGACGTCCATTATACTTTGTTCCGCCGCAGGTGCTGGCATACTGACTTCATCATTGGGGCAAACTAAGAAATACATACGTCTACACCAAGACGTAGCTAAACTTCAATGGAAGCTCAACGTAGAAAATGGTCCTTCCTCCAAGTACATAATCACTGCCTGCATATTCTTCTCAATAGTCACACTTCACTATATGATTATAGAATCTCGACCGACTATATTTCTATTCAGATCTCTGCGTGTATCCACTGTGGTGGTATCATCAATGATCTGTACAGAGGTCGTTGAAGGAATAGGCAGATGCTGTGATCACATGTCAAAGAATATTGAAGTTATTAGTGAAACTATCTCGAATTATGATACTTGTCCGACTAGTGAAGCTATTGACATGGATTTACGAGTACGAGACCTTATGGCCTCTCACAGAAATATAATGGACCTTATTCGCAATACTGGCGAGGTATATGGAGCATATATAACGTTTCTTTTGGCTTCAATAATCATTTTTCCTACTAAGGATATTATGACAGGATTGAAAGCCGGAACATTATTGTCGAGCGGGAATTATTGGGAAACCATATCTACATTGTTGCTGAGTGCCAATCGGAGCATTTGGATTTTCGTAAGTGAAGATGATAGGTATATCAATGATATACCCTACAGGGTCTCTTCAATAAGTATCGGGATTGGTTCCAAAAATAAAAATTTATTATAGGTATCATTACAATTACTTAATAATCTTCAAAATATATTCCTCCTGCATCGGCGCGCCTGCCACTTGTTAAAAGCCCGCTGGAAGTCGATGGAGTCGAACCGATGTCCTTTGACAGATCCCTTTTTATTCGCGGAAACAAGAAAAAGTCAGCTGAAGCCAGGTCTGGCAACGTTGAAGACTTTTTTCATTTTGGCCACCTGAGCATCGGCTCGAGCGGTCGTCTTCGACGTGCTCCCGGATTTTCTTAAGCATTTTGTGCCACTCAAAGACTCTTGTGAGGCTTAAGGCATCATCCCTATGAGCGTGTTTAATTAGTTCAAGGGTCTCCGATGAGGATTTCCCGAGTTTGAAGAGAAACTTCACAGCGTAGCGTTGCTCGGTAGTGCGCTCCATGCTGGCGCGACGACATCACAAAAAATCACACGCTACAAAAATCCACCTTTTGTCTCAACGCATGCCCGCAGACGACTGAACTAAAGTGCGCTTGAGTGTTGGCGGACCCTTCTACCGAGCCGAGCGGTCGTACCCCCTCCACCGCTCAGTTTAGGCTACAGCGAAGCAATCGCAATACTTATTAAAGGAACCCTGTATACTTTATCTGAAGTCACTTGAAATAGCATAAAAACCTTTGGTCGGCGCGTCCTTTCATGACGTATCATAGGCGTGCGGTCATTTATTTAGAACGATAATAATAATGTTTTTATATCACAATAAATGGATTTTACTATCTTCTTATTTTTTTGATTTGGGATAAAAAATACTTATATTGGGAGTTTAATTTATGTTGACTGAAAGTTAAGAAATGGAAAAATTACAGAATTCCAACGTTTGGCATAGGCAAATATTTACATAGCAGGTAGGTATATAAAAAGGTATATAAAGACTTACATTATAGGTATTTATATATCATCCTCGCCTTCGGAGCTGTCGCTAGAGTCATCTTGTAGAGGAATTACAACGGGATTTACAGGAGGCAAAACACAATATTCATTTTCTTTTTCAATAATATGCCTAGAACACTGCTTCCATAGGTCTGTGGCAGCAATATGAGATACTGCATCTCTTATTGTGGCCAATAGCGATTCACTTAATTGAGGGGTCTGATTATGTTTTCTTACTTTTTTTTTTAAAGCAGCCCAGACCAACTCAATCGGGTTAAAAATGCAGTAATAGGGAGGTAGACGTAATACTTCATGGCCATTTTGCTGAAGCAGATTGTCAACAACATACTCTTTTTCAAATTTTTGTCTTTTAATAAGATCCAATAATATGGCTTTAGTTGATTTTTGTTGTATTTCCATTCCCTTATCCTTCATAAAATCAATAATGTCTTGTTTTTTTGTGCCTGTATTCGGAATTTTGTTTTTCTGTCGGGAATGGTATGGCGCATTGTCCATAATAATCACTGAATTTGGGGAAATGTTTGGTATTAACTGCTGCTCTATCCACTTTTCAAATAAGTCGGAGGTCATGTCCTCATGATAGTCGGCACATGATTCTTTGATATTTTTGGCAGATAACAGCAAGGCATTAGGTATAAATCCATTTTCACTGCCAGCATGGAGAATAATGATTCGTTTTCCACGTTTCATCCAGGTAAATCAGATTTCTTTTTTGCTCTCTATAGATTTTAACTTTGTGCAAAAATTCTTGGCGCAATTCAACGATTCGAGACGACTCCATAATCACCATTCTTTTATCTAATTTTTTGTATTGAAAACCACACAGTTTTACAATACAGTGCAGTGAGTCTAAGCATTTGTAATTATAAAAATCTTCAGGATAATCTTTTAATTTATCCCGTATCATTTCCAACGTGGGCACCAAATTTTCTTTATAAAATCCGTATATTATACGACGAATATCTTCCTGAAAACCCACGTCTATTCTTTTTAATTTTTGCCCTATGCGCTTTCTGTGGAAGGAATGGTTGACTACATCTCCCCTTTTTATAACCCGATAAATGGTAGACCGACTGATTTTTGTCAGGATACAAATTCTGTTTAAAATTTGATTTTGCGAGGAATCTGGATTTTCGTTTTTCAGACAATCATACATATTTAGGATTACTCTTTGGGTCTGTTCCTCTATATCTTTATGAGAGAATTCTGCCTGCACAGGTTCATCAAACATCTCCTCGTGGCTTGGAGCATTTTCCCAAGGTCTCCAAAGAGCCATATTTAGGACACACAAGAACAATCAACACAACAATTAAATCAACAAGTAAACTGAGTATTCAAAAGTCAAAAACACACAAACTAATAAAATCTATGAAAAAACACGGACAGACTAAAAAAAAACACGTTTATTCACCGCTACACGGCACTGGCTAAACTGTTTCAATTTTCAGTAGCCACCTGCACTTGTTCGGAGCTCTGAAATACACGCTTTCTCATTGGCTATGTCCACGCATAGGCGTGCTTTACTCCACGTGGACCGGTGAAACTGCCTTTGATCTTATCTTATTTGCTGCGAAATTTGGCGATTTTTGCAGCAACAGAGCGTGTTAAATATAGGTATATAAAACGCACCCGGTATTTCACAGTGTTTCAAGTGACTTCAGATAAAGTATACCATCCATGCGGGGCGGAATTTTCTACTTTAGCAAGGGGAACATGTACACATAACTTATAAATATAGTTTGGTACCTGGAATAACAAATTTTTATGGAATCCGCAATGCTCTAAGGGCTACGGTTACCGAGATACGATCGTGTACCCGTTTTTTTACTGAATTACCTACAATTGCGCACAAATATGGTTACAACTTTTTCTTGGGACGGGATTCGAATCCGCGCAGGATGCCCATTACGTCTACTACTACGCCATTTTCATTGATAGGCAAATCCGCCCAAAGATACGCACGAAAAGTACGTAATTTTTGAGACCAGTACTGGCATTTAAACAAAGAGGCTTGGTTCCTTCCAACCTCGAATTCGTGTATTTACTACAATGATAGGTAAAGAGTTTTTCATTTGGAGTGCTATTTAGCCCGTTAGGGTTAAAAATATATGTATTTCATGGGGACGATACAAGTGCTGGGAAGAGGACGAACGTCGTTTCACTTCCTAAGCACGTGTGCTATGACAACAGCTTAGAGCTAATATAAAGGTCTTATTCTCCAATGTAAATGACAAACCTATAACAGTTATTTTCTCCTAATTTCTTCTATTAGGCCAGAAAGTGTTAATGTTTTACTTGAAGATAATTTATTTCACACCCCTTGCTTATTCCACCTTTTGCAGATACTGGGAGTCGCAATACTATCATCCTGCAACAATGTCAAAGAGAAATTGAAAGAGATGAGTCTCACAGCTTTCCAGATGCTTACATTCCTGCCTTTGAAACGACCTTCGCTTTTAGAGGAGGAAGTATACGATGATATTTTAGCATTTGAGCAAATGGTACTGAAGCGGGTGGACTTCAAAATTGCTGGATTCTTTGTCTTGGATAAGCCGGTAATCTTTGCCATGCTAGGTTCTGTCACATCTTATGTGATCATTTGTTTTGGTTTGGATAAAAATTTTCGCTCATTTACGCAGGCCAAGGGGAATGGCACTATCGTACTCACCTACTAAGATATGGAAGCATTGACTGTTTACTTGTAAATTGAGCACAACTTTCCTCTAAATTGGCAAAGCTTAGGCGAAACCAAATACAAACCTCTTGTAGCAGCGTGCATACCATCTCTTGAATTTCCAAGCAAGACCGGGCTAGAAGAACCGAAGAACCCAGGGAAGAACCGCACTCTCACACAAGTCAATGTTTCTGTGAGTTGTTGTTGGCGACTTCAATCTACATGTATAACAGATAAGTACACAGTAGAACCAAAAAGATTTGCCTGATTTATACTACCCGTTGCTATCTTCTTTACTTTCTTCCCTACCCTCTCCCTTCCTTCTTCCTCCATGACATCTGATATCATCTGGGCAACGAAATCTGAGGTATCTATTGACCACGAAGACTAGAGACAGGAATTTAAACAAATAGAAGGGGATGAAACCAAATGCGTCGACAACGAAGGCGGAGCTCTCTCGTATGTACACTGAGCAGGAAATTAATTTAAGGTTCTGCACATGTGGCACCTCTCTTGAATGTACACTGCACAGGAAATAATAATAATAATAATTAACGTCTTTTATTTGTAATATTCTTACAGGAGGCGAGATTTAGATTATATATCTATTCTACCATCTAACCCCCTTAACAATACCAGATGTAAAAAAGCAAAAAAAAAAAAATTTGTTGAAAATTAATAGGCACCTGTATACAATAACGACAGAATCAAGTCCAAGTAAATACATAAGGAAAATATGGGTGCCAACCGATTTCGCTGCTGTTCAAGAAGAACTTCTTTCACTTTTTTCTTGAATTTGGATAATGGATTGGTTTCTTTTAAACTGCGGTCTGAAGAATTATATGATTTGATCGCATTGTAAATGTATGTATTCTGAAATAGAGACGTGCTGTGGCGTGGAATTGAAAAAGTCTCTCTATATCTAATATTAATACGATGCATATTCCCTCTACGAATGAATTTGTTTACTAAATATAACGGTGTTTCTGAATAAAGAAACTTATGAGTCAGATTTAGGAGCTGGTACTTATACATTTTATCAATTTTCATCCATTTGAGTTCATTAATGGCATTCGATATATGATCATATTTTCTGAGATCATTTGCAAGTCTGCATCATGTATTCATAATACTTTGAATACGATTTCTTGTTATAATATCTAAATAGGGATAGTAAACCACTAAGCAATACGATATCTTTGAAAACACGAAATATTCACACAATTGCTTTCTCGCAGATTTATGTAATATAGCCTTATTTGCAAATAAAACTCTGAGAATAGCGTAGCACTGAATAATTAGATAGTTCACGTGTGCAACAAATTTTAAGTCATCATCCATTATAATACCTAGGTTTTTCGAATGATCCACAAGAATTAATTTATTACCTTTTAAATGTATGTCTATGTCCTTTTTTAAGGTATTCTTTTTTGTTCTATTTGCGTATATCAACATATTTGTCTTCAAAGGGTTCAAACGAAGTTTATGACTACTACTGAACTTTTCAATTTGGGCAAGATCTTGATTAATTTTATTATTTGCCGTTTCCAAGTCATTACTCCTAAATGAATAGAAAATTTGAGTATCATCTGCAAAAAATTGTATGCTCCATGATTTTACCTCTGTTTCTAAATCTGAGATATATAATGAAAATAATAGCGGTCCTAAGACTGATCCCTGTGGTACACCAGAACAAATTTTTTGTTCCGTAGAGTACTGTTGATTTAGACGAACTTTTTGATACCGATTTTCAAGATAGGTTTGAATAAACGAAAGAGGTTTTTCAAAAAATCCATAATAACTGCACTTAGATACAAGAAGTGAGTGATTAATGGTGTCAAATGCTTTAGTAAAGTCATGAAGTATGAGAGCTACTGCTTTTTGGTTATCAAGTGCCATTGTTATATTGTCTGTTAAATCACAGAGTGCCGAAGCTGTATTATGACCTTGTCGAAATCCAGATTGTTTAGATGGAATAATTTTGTTAGAATATAAGTAGGCGCAGAGCTGCTCGTAAATAACGCGTACCAATACTTTAGAAAAAGTTGGCAGTAGACTGATCGGTCTCAGTTGACCATAGTTAGTAGGATCAGAACACTTAGGTAGCGGAATAACTATAGCGCGTTTCCAGTGATTGGGGAAATATCCCCTCTCTAAACAGCAGTTTATAATATGCGTCAAGTACACATCAATTTCAGGTATACATAGTAGCAAAGTTATTCCATCTGGACCACTAGAATTTATTTTATGTATAATTTTAACAACGGTGTCAATAGTCACTTTATTAAATTGAAATTTGAATTTTGAGTTATTTTTATTAGCTCGATAATATGCAATTTTATCAGCACAAGCCAAATCACTATTCTCGAAAATTGAAATGAATGCCTCATTTATTTTATACGGATCTGACAAGCTCACGGGAATTGTAGAATCTTTCTGAGATTGTACTTTGAAAGTCTTTAGGGTCTTATAAAACTTTTTTATATCCTGATTTTGAACAGCTTGTAAATAATCTCTTTTTCCTCTTCGCACGAGCGTTAATGCACGATTTCTGAAATATGTATATTGTTGCCAATAGGCGGCTGTACGATCATGTTTGAACTCTGACAAAGTTTCAGCTCTCTGCTTGAATACAAATTTAATATTATCATCCAACCAAAAAGCTGGAGCTTTGTTTACACGCACTACCTTTTTTGGACAGTGAACATTAAATAAACATAAAATACTATCTGTTAGAAAGTTAATTTTATCTTCAATGTCATCTATCGATATAATATGCCACCATGGAAAACTCTTGAGATCTTGTTCAAACGCTATTTCATTTAAACTATGGAAATCCCTGAATGTCACAAATTTCTGTTGATTTTTAGGAAGTGCAATACGTATATCACAGGAGGTCAAACAGTGATCAGTAATCATATCAGCATTAATAGTGCCACTCCTAAGACAACTTTCAGGCTTGCTCAAATAAATAGGATCTAAGAGAGTGAGAGTCGATTCAGTTATCCTAGTCGGTTCAGATATCACCTGTTTCAGATTATAAGAATCAAGGCATTTAGTCAAGTTGTTGCAAACTAAAAGCAAATTAACATTGATATCCCCTGCAAGGATGATATCATCATATTCAGCTAATATGACAGGCAACATGTTATCAAAGGTATTACCGGCTTCTGTAACAGAGCTATGTGGGGGCCGATAGAATATACCAATAGCAATTTTTTGTTTTGGAAGCTGCACCTTCAACCATATATATTCAAGACTTGGGCCTTGCCCAAATGAAATTATGGAAGAGTTGTAGTGGTTGTTTACAAAGACTGCAACCCCACCACCTCGCCCATCTCTATCACAGCGATAGCAGTTGTATCCATTCATTCTTATATGGTCATTAGATATATCTTTTGATAGCCACGTTTCCGATATTCCAACAATATCAAGGTTGTTGTTTTGAACCAGTGTACTAAATTCATGAAATCCTGATAAAACTGATCTGCAGTTTATATGACCAAATTTGAAAACCTTGAATTTATCACTATTCATATTCAATTCTAGATTTCAAGTATGTAACATGTTTTTTATAAGTTGGACAATCTAAGTCTTTAGAAGAATGACTAGTATCAAATTGAGTGTTGAATTTAGAATTGTGATTCATACAGTTTGAACAATTCTTAAAAGCAGATTTACAATTTTTTCCAAATGATCTCCAGCACATAAAGGACATGATACTTTAGAATGTATGCAATTTTTTTCCATGTGGCCAAAACCTTTGAGTTTTGGGCATGTGGCATCCCTTTCATTTCTAAATCCCTCTATTGCTGTCATCAAGAACGCAAATAACTCACCTTCAATGTAGACAATTCATTGCTTGATATACTCAGTGACATTAGAAGTGTTACACCCAGAAAAAATAATTCCTTCAACTTGTTTTTTTTTGGCGACTAATGACTATATTTAAAGCATGGTGTGGCAACAATGTCCTAAACACATTATTAATTTTTTCCTTACCACTTGTCAATAAAATTCCGAGAGAATAGTATTGTTTCATTCTTGATGTCAAAAAATCAAGTTGAAGAAATTATTTTTTCTGGGTGAAACACTTGTAGGATTATTGAGGATATTCATAAACCAACAAAGCATGACAAAACGCGAGTGAAATTATAAACCATGGCAGTCAAGATTTTGCGAAGTATGTGATAATTTATTATTTTCCCATCATTTCTGAACTGAATTAATAAGTCAGATAATAAAATTAAATCTATTTGGTCCATATATAAGAAAATGACAAAAACAAAATATACAAGACGATTGTGATATGAACTTGGAAAGGATTGTTCAGGAATCAACAGATATACACAATGCCTACCATCTCACAAAATTTGATTGTTTATTCTAATATATAGCCACTCTAGACCTCTATTCCCATTAATTGCAGACGACGTTAGTTACATAGACAAAAAACCGGAAAATTCATCAGGCACTGATGAAACTATGAAAACATCAGGTCCGTTATACTCGTATAAATAGATCAAAACCTTGATCGAAATGAAGCATGCGGCAAGTTATGTTGACATTCTTGATATTTTTTACGTGCGTAGACGCTCACTGACGTGCTCTGGAACACCTAAAAAGCTGGCAAGAAATACAACTTCTGTAAGCATCCGCGCTAAATTTGGTACAGGAGGATGTTTGAGGTCGCCGTTTCAAAACTTGCTGTAAAAAACATAATTTCGATATGGCGTATCCAGTATGGCATATGATTCTTGAAAGAAGTTGATAATATTATGATATTTGATATGAGATAGGACCATTATAATATTATAGTGACTGCTGAATAAGAAGGATGCTTGAACAAAACACAGAAATACTATGTTTCAAACACAACGAACAAAAAAATACGATATGTTTAAACTATATAAAAATAGATGCCTGAAAGAATGAGTCTGAAGTTAAAGAGATCTTTCAATTGGATTTTTTTTCTAATGACCGCCAGCTATTTATTTTGAATTTTTGATACAGATCTAGCAAGATTTCAATTTTTGGTGTCACATAGCTTCCATTGACCTGTTTGTTTCAAAATTTCGTCTTGCAATTTATGAAACTTTTACGGAAAACCGTGCAGCATGTTGAACAAATCATCATATGTAAAGATTAAGTCCCAATCTAAAAGTAATACAACATAATATAGCGAAGGGTCGATACGTGTATTTATTATAGATAATTTGGATTGATTAAGGTCATATTTCTAAGATGTTTGTGAAAGCTAGCAAAATCTGATTCTATCTTTTATCTGGTACTACTTTGAGCTTCTAGGCATAATTAACCCCAACGGGGAAAAATGGTGGGACCTTGTTAAAAACCCGTCTAAGTAATAGTATCTAACAGAAAAAGCAACAAAAAAGTAGTGATATGTTTGTTATCTATCAGCTTCTTTAGTAGAATCCATATTGACATATCTTGAAAATCATAACACTGTAGATAATGTAGGACGTCACTGATCTCACCACAAATGTTATAACGAATTACCACAAACAGCACGTTTTCATGGGCATCTAATTATTCCAAGTATCAACTTTCAAATATAACACTAATTCTGACAGGATTTAAACTTTGCAGCCAAATGGTGTTTTAAAATGAAAGCGTGGACGAGAACAGTTGTTGCAACTGTAAGACCAAAAGGACGGACACATTGGGTTTGGTTTTACAATTTCAACAAGTGTTCTCGTCCACGCTTTCGTATAAAACACCACTTGGCTGCAACCTCACCGACAAGTAAATAAATCTAAATGCTTTCTGAATTACTTGCTAGCTTCATTTCTGTGTTTTAGCTCCTGAAGATGACAACATATTTTGTCGAAAGCTCGAGATTACCGTCAAAAGAGTTTACTAAGCTTAAAGTTTGCCAATTCCCAATTAGAAATTAATTGTATTTCTTGCCCAACTGGTAGCAATGACTACTGCTCGCATATATATATGTGCCAAACATTTTTAGTACTTTATCCCAGTCCTTCAACAATGTACACACTCTCAGTTACATTGTTGAAGGACTGGATAAAGATATATAATATATATATATAAAGTGAGAAATTTGAGGTCTTATAGCCGTTTTATAGGTTGGGCCTTGCTGTGGACTTCGTGTGATCATTTTCTCTCTCTCTCTGTGTGTGTGTCTCTCTGTATATGTGTATACATATATATATATATATATATATATATATATATATATATATACCTATATATATGAGCAGTAGTCATTGCCAAAGCCAACGACCAGTTGGACACAAAATACAATTAATTGTTAATTGGGAAATTGGCAAATTTTTTATTTAGGCTTAAAGGACGGGGACATTGGGCTTGTTGAAAAACGACAGATACCTTCGTTACATGTAAATAATATCAATCCACCCGAACAAATTGAAAAGTATTACAAGTGATAAGACATTTTGGTGAAACAATCGGAATGCAGTCTCTAACTTTCTACTTCTGCTATACGTGGAGAGGGGGACGGCACGGAAAGATAAAGCGTCGACAGATGACAAGTGATTGACACGATGGACCGTGGAACTGTAAACCTCCCTGTCCAACTTTGGGTATGAAGTATACGAGGGACGCTCGGTAAACCTCCACCCAAAATTACTAAAATCTGAATTAACTTGTTTTGGAAAAAAATGTGTAGTTCATATGAGTGTAAGAATGTGTGATATTGATGCAACCTTGAAAAGATGGGTTATGTGAGTTTATATTAAAAATGTTACACCAGTATCCGGATGTGTGGGCATGTGTATCTACTATATATATATACATTTTATTTAAAAAAGTCAACCTCAAGGAAACGACATAACAACATCTTACAGTACACGTACATAATTGAGACCTCATTACGACGTCGATATTTGAAACAATCACGTCAGTTGACCAGTTATCATCAAATTTTGACGTCATTATGACGCACTTGTGAGGTGGGTATTTGGTAGCTAAAGCATCATGTGTATCTTTTTGGCGCAAACGTTGTCATTTATCAAATGTGTAGAGGCGGCAAAATATGCTGGTGATCTAATATTCTTTCATTTCTAGTGAACACACTCAGCATGGCCCAAGGAATGGGAAGGGGCTTTACCTCTTCTATTTATTTGACAGTTATTAGTGATTAGTAGACAGACCACTAGAGCCTCAAGAACTTTCATTATTTGCGGGAATCATAAACGTTGGGGCTATAGTAGGAGCTCTTGTTGAAGGAATAATAGCAAACCATATTGGAAGAAAGAAGTTTTTCATACTGCTTGCTTCTATAATGTTGGCAGGATTCACCATAGACACAATAACAAGAAATTTGTATTTGCATTACCTAGCAAGGTTTTTCATTGGCCTAGGAACTGGAGTAGGCGTAGTAATATATTTATATGCTGCAGATATATCTGGAAAATGCAATAGAGCAGCAACTGCCACTATTAGTAGTTTGATGTTTGCTATTGGAAGGCTCTACGTTTATTGTTTGGGACCCATTTTTAGTAACAGGCAATATTGCTTTTTATGTACAGTACCACTTATGCCATGCATTATTTGGATAATACTTACGGTTCCATTTTATCTAGCTGCAAAACAACAAGATATCAAAGCAGTAAAAGTACCTTCCAGACTAAGGTCGCAGACAAATGGAAAACGTTAAAGTTCTCCTTTGTGCAAAAAAATGGATTGAAGAGCACTTATTTTACAGTGAGTGTCTTCGAAATGCTGCAGAGGCTCCGCGTGTGTATGCCGACCGTTTTCGAAGATCCTTCGTGTCTTTTTTGTTTGGGGCGAAATGAAATGTTTACTGTATAAAACTGGCCTCAGTTGAACACGGTTCAAGGACAACGTGTGTGAATTTAGCAATCTGCTGAATTCATTCGGGAAAGACATATCATTTTAAAAGCCTACACCGATACTTACAACAATGCTTACAAGTCAGTGAGTACTTTTTCATTTGTTTTATTTCTACACTCTAGCTATTGTTTCACCACACATTAGCTTTGTTATTACAAACGTAGTTGTTTTTGAAAAGGCAAGTCCAGACTTTCAGGACTTCCTGAATACCTTTTTCCTCTCCCCCTTCCTTGCCTCCTCTCTTCTTGCCTACTTTCTCTATGACATTATCTGAAATTTGGGCAGCCACACCTGAAATACCTCCTCACCTACGAGACTTTAGCCAAAAACAAAGTTCTTACGGACTGTTCTGTGAGACCATGCCGGATCGATGTTAATTCGCACTGTCTTATAATATGTTGTGGGGGTCTATTTGGATAAAAAACATGAAATGCAAATATCCCACCGAGTAATTATTTTGAAGTCAGTTGCTTATTACATCATTCCTCATTTGGCATATCTCATTAAGGCCTATCTTGGATAAACAACTAGTACACTTATCATTATCGGCGAAACATTATTAGCGTTTGCCAGAGCCAGAAAAGATATGTGACAAGGTAATGAGTAATGTTCTAAGACGTTTACAGCATGATACTTCTGAACATAATTAATTCCAGTACTTTCAGAAGAAGTTTGCTGCTGTATGGGTCAGTATTTGCAGGTATGTTTATTGTAATAGCGAAGGTCTTGAAAATCACTGCAGATATCTAAGAACAAAATAGCTGTTTATGTATCTAGTGTGTTTAGTGAACTGTTATGGCCCGGGCGGTAAATTAGAGATAAAGGTACGAATCGACGCGATATCCAATACGTTAAGAAACATAAACGCTCACAACGTCCTATATATACAGAGTGGCGCATCGAAAACGCATTTACTGGCTGCTCAGTTTTTTTTTTGGAAAAACGCTCAGATCCGTCGATTTTGTTTTCGAGGGGACACAAGTTTGGCAAAAAATCACGTTAGCATGTGCAGCCCCCTAAGCGGGGGTGACACCACCCCCAAAATCTTCAATGGAAAGGGGGGTCGAGTGACACCTCATTTTAAAGGTCTTTCAATTGCCTTTATAATGATATAAAGTTAATGTACTTCAGTTCAGTAGTTTTGAAGATTTATTGATTTAAAGCTTAAATAGAATTAATACATCATCATTAGTGGAGATCAATACATTTGGCAGCAAAGTAATTTAAAAATGAAGAATGAACTGACCCGTTAGGCAAGCAAATGTTGAAAATGGCCACCATGACTCTCCATGCAATAATCAAGATTTTGCTCAAGACGTTGCCGCACATTTTGCAATATTTGAGGAGTAATTTGAAGGCGCTCATTGAAAATTATTTGTCGCAGGTCTTCTAATGATGTTGGCTGAGTAGCATAGATTTTGCTTTTTAAATGACCCCACATAAAGAAATCCAAAGGTGATAAATCTGGCGATCTTGGGGGTCATTCAATGGCACCTCTTCTACCAATCCATCGATCTGGAAACGTCTGCTCTAAATATTGTCGAACACGTAATGCGTAATGTGATGGGGCACCATCGGGTTGGAACATCAACCTATTCGCAATGTACCGCCGATCATTCTGATTTTCAATTATGGCTGTTAATGTAGGATCTATGGCGTCTTCCAGTAATTCCAAATACATTTCACCGGTCAAATTTCCAGGTAAGAAAAAAGGTCGGACTAAATGGCCGCCAAAAATACCAGCCCACACGTTTAATTTTTGTGGCTGCTGTGTATGAACCTCATGATAAATTCTGGACCAATATCGGCAGTTATGACGCTTTACTACGCCATTTAAGAAAAAGGAACATTCGTCGGAAAAGCAAGTGCTGAATAGAAACTGTTCATCGTTTATAATTCGTTCACTCATATCTTCACAAAATTGTAATCGCCGATCAAAATCGTCTTCATTAAGTTCTTGTACCAGGTGAATTTTATACGGGTGAAAACTATGGGCATTTGGAATCCGTTGGAAAGTACGTCGACTAACACCACACATAGTCTCCAATTTGCGGGTACTTAACGTATTATCTACATAAACTTGCACTAAAACCCCCACTTCTATTGCTTCGTTCATTATGGGACTTTCAATGTTGCGTTTTTTATTGGCGACTGACCCAGTTTCCCGAAATTTAGCTGCAAGTTCTGGAACATATTTTCGATGCATTTGCTTTTTAAGTAAATTCTTTTAGTAAAATTTCTTCTGAAAGTAGTACAGACTAATCTGATGTACCTATTAAAGTCTACTTTAAGCTTTAAATCAATAAATCTTCAAAACTACTAAACTGAAGCTCATGTATTTTACATCACTATAAAGGGAATTGGAAGACCTTTAAAATAAGGTATCACTCGACCTCCCCTTTCCATTTAAGATTTTAGGGTTGGTGTCACCCCCGCCCAGGGAGCTGCACGTGTTAACGTGATTTTTTGCCAAACTTGTGTCCCCCTCGAAAACAAAATCGACGGGTCTGAGCGTTTTTCCAAAAAAAAAAAACTGAGCTGCCAGTAAATGCATCTGTTTCGTTTTCGATGCGCCACCCTGTATATATGTACAACTTGAGACGTGGTCATTGTCGTCTAGACCAGTTAGGTGAAAAATTTGTTGGGTACTTCGACAAAATTTAAGCAAAGAGGACTCTTTATACTTTATTAATCTCTCTAGCTTTCAATGGTCTTTGCCATCATCATCAGGAGCTGCAATAACATTGAGCAAAATAGCTTCTATTGTGCAAAATGAATTTTAAATTAACTTACAGTAGTATGTGAGGATGTTGCTAAATGTTCTTACCCAACGTATCTTAGTAAATCACACCATCTGAAGTGATTTGGCAACATAGCACACACTTTACAAAAGAATTTTCGTTCCATCCATCGACACGGACACTACTAACCTTCTGCCATCTGTCAAAGGTTCATCTTATAATTCTATGCCCACCATTTTGTGCAACATCAGGTGGTTCACGATGTAATTTTTAACTTTCGTTTTAAATATGTTTAATCCGTATTAATTTGTTCCTGACATACAACTGTGTGTAGTTTGTATTAATTTTGACGACTGTACCATGTATCCAGTTTTCACCAGGTTACTGGGTGTTTCCCTCAACCTAAACGTAAATAACATTTAGCAACATCCTCACGTACTACTGTAAGTTAATTTAAAATTCATTTTGCACAATAGTTGCTATTTTTCTCAATGTTATTGCAGCTCCAGATGATGATGGCAAAGACCATTGAAAGCTAGAGAGATTAATAAAATATAAAGAGTCCTCTTTGCTTAAATTTTGTCGAAGTACCCAACAAAAGGTGGAAGATTTAATTATATATATATAAATAAACACTTTATCTACGATCTACGATTTCTCAAAAAATAGTTCCTAACTGGGCATAAAAATATATAAAATTACCATTACCATACCATATTGTAGAGCAACATCCTATCAACAGGTAAATACATAAAGTTCTCGTAATCGAAGAGAAAGTCACCCTAATAGTCACATCCGCTCGAAAAGTAGTACATTACGTACCTAATTTGAGAAGTGGGCTATTATTGGGTGTGTACCTTTATAAGCTGAAGGTCGTAATGCCGAGGATATAATGTGCGAGACAAATAATAGCCTTATTAAATGAGGTGTGTATAGAATATTTTTCTCTACACATACAACTATCAAAGTGTTTGATTGTACATCACGACCATGACGTTTCCGACTCATTTTACAAATACTTTATAATATCTAGTTACCTTGTGTCAAACTTACAAACACAAATTGCTGAAGACCACCCATCTAGTTTCAACTAGTCCATCCAAGGGGAATAATGGTACAAATGTTTTATTGTTAATTAACATTAAAAACCGTTTTCAAACATTATGTGGATTGGTGGGGCACTTAAGAATGGGAATAACATAAGAAACTTTGCTGAAAATGCGGCCCTTTTAGGCAAAGTTCTATCCCATGGCCTCCCAGAGGAGCTTTGCAGATAGGTGGCTGGCTGTCTCTCTGGCCGCAAGATATTCGTCGTAATGGATGGGTTCTCCTATGCATCCCACAATATCAATGTGGTTGTTCCCCGGGGATCGGTATTACCTCCAACATTGTTCCTTTGGCATATGAACGACCTTTTTCCATGTACGATCAATCCGATGCACAGCTTTGCTGACTGCAGCACTCTACATGCAGGAATTCGGATCTCTGCCGGTAAACTGGAGAAAAGAAGACTATCAGCGACTTTCTGACGAGAGACCTGGAAGTTGTTACTGCTTGGGTACGCAACAATCAGGTACAGTTTAATGTTTCCAAGACACACCGTTGTACCTTGACTGACAAGAAGGGCCCTAGCTGTTCTACCAGGGAGCCGTTCATTTAGGCTAGTCGCAGCCCAGATCACCGAGGACTTGATCAGGCACGAACACATTATTTCTTTATTACTACGAGGTTCTTTTCTCCACATAAACCTACTAACTCTGTACAATCGATGAACAGACAGACTCGCTGACCGGCCTCCCAACCTAACAGTGTTGAACTTCGTACATCCAGAAATTGCCGATACGACCGCTCCTTTGTGCTTGGGGTGTCTAAATTGTGGAACAATCTATCTGAGAAGGCTGTTCCCAGTTCTACTAACCTTAGGAAGTTCAAAAATCGTTTTAGCAATATTTTTTTAAGCTCCACATAGCAGCTGCGGTGTACTGGTGTTTAGGCCTACGTGCCTACCTCGGTATAAAAAAATGTTTTGGAATATTTCCAAATATAAAGTTCTGTTTCAGAACTGACACAATGATATTGACTTAATACAATTTTAGATGACATTAATATCTACCTGGGTGTTTTTTTTTTTGTGTTCGTTATTTACCTAGGTAGATGACAGCGATTACTCGGGTCGGTAGTGAGACAATATCCTTATTTGGTTTTTTAGAAAGACCCTATTCAAAACCTGCCTGTTACCAGGTTCATAATTGCGTCAAAAACCGTTTCATCAATTTGTTAGGCATCCCAAAAATTATTTTCTTTCACTCCGGATTGTTGTTGTCTAAGGTATTTGGGAAATTCTGAAGAAGAAAGGTTCCTATGAACTTTTATGTCAAGTTGATATTTTTCGAGATATGACCAGTTTAATGTATGAAAAAGTGAGAAATATGCCCAAAAATGATAAAAAACGAAAATTTTAATCTTGGCAAAGTTCTTAGATAGTCGGCCGCCTCTATGCCGCATCTTTCGTGCTCATGCAGAATATACATGGGGCCTGCCCTTGATTAAAAATTGAAAAACAAAGGTTTAAAATAACAATCCTCCTAAAAAGCTTTGGGATTTTGTTAATGGACTATTGAGGAATCTTTAGGAACTTTGACAACATTAAAATTTTTGTTTTTACATATTTTCATGAGTTGAAAATGGCACCTTTTTCAATTTTTCAAATATTAAGCCGCTTGTATCTTGAAAAGCATCGTCTTTACAAAAACGTGTTTTCATAAGGACCTGTTTTTCTGAATTATCCAAAAAACCTAAGAAAGATCAAAATATTTTTTTTTAAATAAGAAAGATGCATAAACAAATTTGAAGCAATATTGGCAATAATCATTTCGTCCTTTTTGAACAAATTTATACAAGAAACAGAATATTAGAATAAAGGGCCGATTTCACCAACATTAATATTATGGACCAATGAGAAATCCTTATCGAAATGCAATTTGACAGAGGCTGTCAAAGGTCTCTGAATATTAGTGATTTCTATTGAAATATTGAATAAAATCGTGAAAATTCGGCTATATTAAAAACAAGACCACTTTTTGATTCCAACATGATGCTTTTGTACAGAAAAAACAGGACAACTTTCATGTATTTTGATATTATGTTATAGGTTTACATTTAACAATCCATTATCCCCCTCAGCGAATGGGAATGCCTCAAATAATAGGTCGATTTTCTATCTGTTAAATTTGGCAGCAGATTTGGACGTTTGTTAATGCATGGCACTCTCGAATATACCAACTTCAATATACCGAAAGTTATCATTACATACCTGTTGAATAGTGTGGATTTGTCTGTATTTTGCAAGAAAATAGAATATAAAATACATTCCATCCAATTCCTCATCTTCCTTTACGTCATAATAGAAAACTCAGATAATATGTGTAAGACGTGTCAATCCCTACATCTCCCTGATGCATAATACTATGGACATAGACAAAAAAATTATGAAAAATGTTTCATAAATAATGTCTTTTAAGTCCAAAAATCATAAAAACTAGTAATGTTTGTCTTTTTGACTGGCGGGGATATCTATCTGTCACTCGCAGGGTTGCCAAGTCTAACGACGATCACGTCCCGATTATACGCATCTTTGGTAGATTGTTCGATCCGCAATGGGAAAGATCTCCTATTTATGAAAATATTTTTGGTACCATTTAACCGTTGCAATCAGAGTACAAACACTGTGACATATGATTTATAGCATAACCCTCTGCCCTATCAATACACATTTAACATACCTACAGGTCGCCTAGCCGTGGGGATGCAGTGGTCGGGATGAATATCACGGCAGCAACTGATGATTTGGGCATGTCTGGTAACAACGTATGAAGTGAAACTCGCTAACTTCACAAATTTGAAGATATTGTACAATTTCTTTGAAAAAGATGAAAGATATGTCTGATTTGGCAGGGTAATGTCGCAGCCAAATGGCAGTCACTCTTTCTGACACAGTCCGGATCGAAAGATGACGATACTCGTGAAATGTATTGATACTTCTAAATATAGAATCGTATCGAACATCTCTACTGTCAAGGTGTATAACCCAAGGTACCGACGGAGCTATTTTGCGGCGTCATGGAAATAGTTTTAAATTTTTTACCAATAGTTGACACATCCCACACATGTGTCACTTATTGAAATGCAATAATCAGCTGTATTCAAATAATGTCTAATATAAATATAACCTAGAATGTGTACTCGTGAAAAAAGAAAAACATGGCAAATTTATAGTTTTTTTGCAGGTTTTAGGTTTGCTGGTAGCTTTAAGGAATATATTTGGGAATTTCTTAATCGCTGTGAATATAGTGCGGATGTTTGTTCAGTTCCTGAACAACGTAAAATATTTAACTTTATAGATGCATGGATATAAAAAAACCTGAGTGGTTTTGTGGTGCCATAATGGTTCTGATGAACGGCAAGTAAATGAATGAATGTTTGGAAACGAGCAATGTCTTTTGGTAGAGCCATCAAGTAGGTGCTTAATGGCTATCTGCAAGATATCGCATAATTGAAGAAAGTGATATAAACATGAATAAAAAATCAACAATTGTAATTAAAACATGAATTTTATTCAAAAATCCAGCGTTTCTTTAAATTTTGACTGAATTATATGTAATTTCTTAATATTCAATAAGCCGGTGATGTTTCAATGACAAGCTGTCATCTCATACTTTGACAGTATTTTGTTTTCAACATTTCATAGCTATTGGTTGCTAAAATTTGTTGATTGGAACTTGAAGCTCATTCGTTGTATTTGACGGTCTGTTCCCCTATAGGTGTTACCCTGTTGTTGGTGAAATTGGCCCTAGTAAGGTATATTTTACCTGCCGGTCGTAGATAAATGTGGTATTATTTGTGAAATGCTGCTGCAGTTAAACTGGTGATGATGTTCTGAATTACTTTTATTTCCAGTGAACGTACTCAGCATGGCCCAAGGAATGGGGATGGGCTTTATCTCTCCAATTTACTTAAAGATGCGTTCCAACGAGACTGACACAAATCTAGTAGATAGGCCTCTAGAGCCTCAGGAGCTTTCAATATTTGCGGGAATCATAAACGCCGGGGCTGTAGCAGGCGCTTTAGTTGCAGGAGTAATATCAAACCATGTCGGAAGAAAGAAGTTCTTCATATTGCTTGCATTTTTAATGTTAGCAGGATTCTTCATACACACAATAACAAGGAATCTTTATTTGCATTACCTAGCAAGATGTTTAATAGGTCTAGGAACTGGAGGAGGTGTAGTCATTTATCTTTATGCTGCGGAAATAGCAGGAAAACATAATAGAGCAACAACAGCCACTATTTCAAGTTTGATGTTTGCTATTGGTAGACTCTACGTTTATTGTCTGGGCCCCGTTGTTAGTATCAAACAATATTGCTTTTTGTGTACAGTACCACTTATGCTATGTATTGTTTGGATAATACTTATAGTTCCAGAGTCTCCATTTTATCTAGTTGCGAAAAAACAAGACGCCAAAGCGGAAAAAGTACTTCATAAGTTGAATCCAGCAGAGAAAGCAATGGAACAAATGCAAGACATCAGAGTACTTCTTTTTGCGAAAAGAATGGACTGGAAATCATTACTTATGGATCAGGTATCACGTAAAGCGTTTTTTATTTGTCTGGGAGTCCAGTTTCTGACAATATTATCAGGAGATTACCTCATTGTTAGTTTTATCGGAGTAATACTGAACTTTCCAAGTGGACATTTATCAGGAAACACTTACGCAAAAATAGTTGGAGGTTTGAAGGTTGTTGCAGGTTGTGGCATACCATTTGCAGTGGATCATATACCTAGAAGGATGCTATTAATATCTTGCTTATATGTTACTTTTGTGTGCCATCTGGTTACAGGGTCATACTTCACGTTAAAATATTTGGATTATAAATGTGCAAATGATATGGAATTCCTCGTAGTGTTATCTGTTACTATCTATGGCTTAATTCAGACTATAGGTCTAAGGATGTTGAGTGGCCTCTATGTCGGAGAAATGCTTCCAAACAACATGAAGCCAATAGCTGGGCCTATTGTCATAGCTTGCGGGTATAGCGTGGGTCTCATACTAAATGTAGTATTCCCACTTCTTGAGGCAAACTTCGCAGTAGACTATTTATTTTACGGGATGTCACTAGTGTGTTTTGTAGGTGCGATATTTTCTTATTTGTATGTTCCTGAGACAAGAAAAATGTCCTTGATAGAAATACAAGACATACTGCGAGCAAAACAGTATGTCACAAGACTATGATCCATGTGAGGACCGTATGTGCGCTCAGTCTTTATAAATTTAGGTGCCAGAACAGAATATCTCCTTGCAATTACCCCACAAGTTATATTTGTTGGATTCTGATAGGGTGTGTGGTAAGAAGGGGAGCAATAAATATACAGTTGTTAGCAATAAAGTGACAGTATTGTTAGAATGTATAGATAGGTCTAATAACCTTGAAATAGAGACAATAACAATATAATCTAAGATCGTATATTTTGTCAACAATAATTTATATTTCACTATAATTTACAAATTTTTATTTGTACCCTAAATGATATTATGCTATATACAGTATGTACAGATAACAATATTGCTTAAAATATTTTCAGTGTTCAATAAATCGTTTAAATTATTACAGTAGTTGATTTAAGTGTGAGACCAAGCAGATTGACGATTTCTATGGGAAATTCTAACAGCAAATGAAGTTTATATATGAATAAAAATTGTTTGAGCACTCTGAATGAATACGCTTGATCAAGCTTTCTATGAAATTTCCCATACGGTCACTAACAATTCTCATAGTTGTCAATCTGTGAAACCTGCCACCATAGGTATGATACATTTCACTTGTTCTCACATAAATCATCACTACATGCAAGTGCTATTCAATTTGATTATACTCGTATTATTAAAATATGTGCAGAAGGTAACAGCTATAATATGGTATATGTAGATTTGGAAAATATTTTAAACATATTTGAAAATCACATTTTACAAGTTTTTACTCTCTAAAGAGCTTGCGTCTGTGGACGCTCTTCTCAAGCAGTTGAAAGAATGTAGATGTCGTCAATAACTGCCTTTTAACCCAACTTGAAGCATTAAGCCCAATCATGTGCAAACTATAAATCAAATACAACTGAGAACTAGTGACAGCTTTCCCGGGTGGACCATTAATAAAGGGCCACCCAGCAGTCACTCAACCTAGGGTTAAGAAATATAACAAAACTGGTCAAAAGAAGTTGCTTAATTTCAGCTTCCAAAAATGTTCCCTAGGGACGAAACTGTAACTTCAAAATTAGAAATAGCATTTTTTACGAAATCATTTATGATCATATATAAAAAATAGCTTCACTGTATTGCATTCGTATTTTGTGACGTTTATTGTTGATGTACTTCTATGTTGATCGATTTGTGCGGGTGGACGAAGAATTCAAGGCCATTTCAAAGAAGATAGTATGACTCCTGATTGGCTCCATCGATTTTCATGATCTTAGTTTCATTTGGAAGCGCTTTAATGCGTAATATTATCGAATATTGCATTTTGTCAATTCAATTCGTTTTTCATACATTACGTGGCGCTCAATGACAAAATCGCCGGTTTCAGCGATTTTTTCGAAAAATACATAATATGCAATGGTATTAATATTTTTTATTAAGCAGAAAATGCATGAAAAATCCAACGACTAGTGGAAATCATATGTTTATTCGTTATAGAGTTGGAAATATATAATATACAAAAATAATTTATTTAAAATTATGTTTGGCAGGATTAGGCAAAGCATTGAAGCAAGCAATATAAAAAACAATTTGTTAGGTGCGGGTTCGATGTTCGTCAGTAGCCTGAGATGCGCTTGGTTAAGTCTTTTATTGAATCTAACCTCCATTACAGCAAACCACCAATAAAATAACCTGGAAGAGTAAACGTGCCAAAATCATCAATACTAATATGTAGTTATACAGGGTGGCCCATAAATCCTTTGAGCTGGAAAAAAAAGAATAAAACCAAACTAGTTACATTATGAAGAATTATTATATTTTGTTATCATCTTTATTGAATGGGAATTATGTTTTAAAAATCACATCGTCTAAGTGCAATCCATTACGATCACGGCACTCATATAAACGACGTCTAAAATTGTCGATGACTGCGCGGCAAGTCAACACTGTAATGCTTGCCATTTCTCTTCGGATATTGTCTTTCAGGACATCAACTGATCGCGGAATGGTGTCGTACACTTTACTCTTGAGGTAGCCCCATAAAAAGAAGTCCATTGGGGTCAAATCTGGACTACGTGGTGGCCAGGAAATGTCTCCTCTTCGAGAAATTACTTTGCTGGGAAAAAGTTGACAGACGACGGGCATAGAAGTGTTGGAGGTGTGGGCAGTTGCTCCGTCCTGTTGAAACCAGGTCTGCGTATTATAGCCTGGAAAATTCTGCAACGCTGGTGTCAAAAACTCTTCTATCATTGCTACATACCGCTCCGAAGTAACAGTTAATGCGCGACCTCTGTCGTCCTCAAAAAAATAAGGGCCTACGATGCCATGCGCTGACATAGCAGCCCAAACTATAACTTTAGGGCTGTGTAAGGGCTTCTGATGCTTACGCCTTGGATTTTCGGGGCTCCAATAACGGCAATTTTGTTTATTTACATGCCCGTTTAAATGGAAGTGAGCCTCGTCCGAGAACAACACATTATTGAGCGAAGAAAATCGATTCAACACTTCATTCGCAAAGTTTAGTCTCTGAATAGCGTCATTATTTTTTAATTCCTGCACTAACTGAATTTTGTAAGCGTGCAGACGTAAATCTTTCCTTAAAATCCGCTGTAAAGATGTTCTGAGTACGTTTAGTGCACTGGAATGCTTACGAGTAGACTGGGTAGGATTTTGACGAACAGACTGTGCCACAATGTTGATGCTTTCTTCAATACGAGTTGTCCTTGGTCGACCCCACCGCTGTTTATCTAACGTCGAACCAGTCTCTTCGAACTTAGCAACCCAGTTCTTAATCGTTTGAGCTGTTGGACACTTTGTAAAATTGTGTAAATTGTGGTATTCTCGATATTTACGCCGCGCAATGGTTGCCGAATCATTATTTTGATAAAACGCGCGCACACAAAAAGCACGATCCGCTCCAGTGAAACACTCCATGGCGACTGAATTCCCAGACACTGAAGGTACTGCCCCCACCTCGCCCGCGCCGCTCACGCTCACCCGTTAAATTTTATTCAAATTTGAAGTTTCAAAGGACTTATGGTCCACCCTGTATATTAAGGATTCACAGCAGGAACATTAGAAGCTGCTCAAACTTCAAACGTGAAAATAACTTCACAGTCATTATGGCTTCAACACTCACCTAATTCAGGTACATCAAAATTTTAAGTACATTACATCTTTACTGAACTTTATAACGAATGAAGACAACGATATACAGGATGTTTCAAATTCGACTCTCGCCATTGAGATCTCGGAACCGGTAAGAGATACGAAGTCGCTTGCATGGAGGCAAAGTTGCGTGTTTAGGTAATAAACAAAAAGTCGCTTAGAAGGTTTCGGTATTCAAAGTACTTCCGGATATAGACGGAAAAAATCGTTTTAATTCCTTCCTAGTATTGCACTTTGTCTTCTTTACAAGGCGGTTTAATTAGAATTTCAATATGAAGTTTGGTCTCTTGTCCTCCAGGATCAACAATATTTTTCTGTAGACGCCATATTGGATTTTTGTACGGATAAATGGAGTTTTTGATTCTGCTTCCAAAACTTTCATTATTTCCAAAAAGCAGAATTTCCTCGGTAGGCCTTGAAATTATCAGATAGACGTTTGTTTCGCAAAATCACTTTTATTGTTTACCGACCTCGAATAAGGTCAGGAAAAAATTAAAGTGATTTTGGGATAAATCTAGTGTACGAAACAAATGTTCATCTGATAATTTCAAGGCCTACCCAGGAAAGTCTGCTTTTGGAAAATAAATAAGGATTGGCGATATCAATGTATGACGTATCCAATAATCCAATATGACGTCTACGACAAAAAATAAAGCTGATGCTGGATGACAAGAGGTACGAAATGCTGTATTGGAATTCTAACTATACCGTCTGGTAGAGGAGAAAAAGTGGCAATGTTAATGTGCAATCTACTTTGAAATCCCACTACAAATAAAGTCAGGAAAAAATTGAAACGAATTTGGAAAAATTTCCGTATTTCTCCGAGTACTTTGAATTTCGAAACATTTTGTTAATTAGCTAAATACGAAGCATTTTGTTAATTAGATAAATACGCAACTTTGCCCTTCGTATCTCTTACAGTTTACGAGATCCCAATAGTGGGGGTCGAATTTGAAACACCCTGTATGGATTCCACTATTTTTCTATAAAACAAAGCCATTCATAAGTTAGAGTTACGCCTCATAGTAGCCATTCTGTGAATATTAAAAAGGAGTTCTAGAATTTATAGCTCTAGATTGAGCAGTTGCCGAGATACAGCAGGCGTCCTTTATTGATGGCCTACCCGATACAACTTGAGCAAAGCTTTTAGCCCATTCACATGCTATTTCCTTCACTAAAGCTTTTTATTCTGAATATATCTGCTTAACCCTGGAACCACACCTATGATAATATTAAATTAACATTACCCTGACGTACAGGTGTCTAGCTCTTAGAAGCACCGATCCAGCCAAGACAATTTTCATTCACCGCAACTGTGACTTATCCTCAATTAATGTGGGGGGAGGGACCATATTTAATTCTTTCCCTCCGGGCGCACAGAAATGTGACGCCGGCACTGTGCACCCCAATAAGAAAGTCCGGCGAAAAGATATCAGCACGTCTCCGTGTTTGTACTCAGAGAAGATACAGTTCTAGGGCTAGTGAAAATAAAATCTGGAGTATCAGGGAACGCCCATTACTTGAAACTCTTAACGTTAGTGTACGTTTAATGCAAATAATAAAGCGCTGGCACTTTCTAAGTGTACCCAATCTGTTAAACGCATGACAGTTAACGGGCTAACATAACGACCCCAAATTTATTTTAAGTTGTATGTTGCTTAGAGAAAGGTTTACGAGATGCATTATGAAAGAGCAGATACGTTTTAAAAACAAGATAAAATATTGGAATTGCAGATTATATAAATGATACAAAAATAAAAAGCACAGGAGTGCTTCCAGCAATAGTAAATAGTTTGATCGCTTTAGAGTGCTACTTACAGAATTTGTTCTTCAGAATAATGTATTTGGGGTATTCCAGAATATTCATATCAGCCACCCGTAAAAGTTATAATAAAAAATGGCAACCAGCACAATACACCGTTGTAAATTTCAGCAGATTTTTTTTGTTTCACATGTGTTTTCTCTTGCTTCATCCAAGTAGCCAAAGTGTCTCTTACCAAGGTCCGCACCTGCATAATTTTAAAAATGTATAAATGTTCGTTACAACTCGGTAGTACGAGAAGCCTTCCAAAACAATCTATTTTGATATAGCTTACTTAGGGTACTGCTAAAATTACTTTAACTACGTTAAAGTTACAATTATTATTAAGTTCTCTATTTAGAATAAAGACTTAAAATAAGTTTACCAACTATTCGTACTCCTTCATTTATTTTAAAATTTTTCAATTCCGATAAACTTTAAAATATCAACAATAGGATAGTGTGTTCCTTAAAATCTAGTATAGACGGAAATAACCTTTAAAATTGAGTATAAACGATGATAGATTCAAGCTAAAAGTTTATTTATATTAAAGCTTTTTATTCGGTGCATTAGAAAAAAAATCAAAACGCGTTTTACTTTCGCGTCCACTCCGACAGTCTTAGAAGGTTTTTGAAAATTCATGAACTATGAGTAGTTGGGATAAGGCAGACCTTTAAATCGTAAAAACGGAATTAGAATTCTATTGTGACTGCAAAGGTATCCGAAAAGGGTTTCGAATATCTCACGACGTATAGGAAGGGCTTTATAATACGAGGTATACTCGTTCGCCATGTTGTTTACTAGCAATGGAGGGGGAAATGGCAGGGGTTGGTCCGTCACCTGTCAAACGTGTGAAGTTGAATCTGAGGTTGTTATACTGGCAATGCGTCTTATCTCGTTGATTGAAAACAGGATGAAGAGCCTAAACCTTCTTATTTTATTTAATAATGCTCAAGGTGTAGGTATAGAACTTTGGATTCCAAAGTTTGGGATATTAAATACCCCTTGCCTGAAATGAAGATGTATCTGTATGGTGGCTCGAATTTCACAAAAACATAAACCAAATCTGTCTAATGCACCATGTGGAGTTCTAACGTGAAGCTATCACCGCTATCATAGTTAAAACATTTCTTTTATATTCTATGCCTTCCTAGGCCCCGTACAATTTGCATAAGACTTTAATATCACCAATCTATCTATAAATTCTAAATATAATTGGCAGTATATCATTAAAATTTATTTAAATCGTGGTATTACAGCATATGGACTTCAAACTAGCTCAACATCTTACCGTTCAAAATCAAGTGTTTATAAGAATTTTATCACTTCCAGAGCAATACTTCTCATTTTCATTTAAATTTGGTACCCTCTGCATCTTTTATACCAACGAGACACTAACTGTAACTACTAGTGCTTACACAGCAAGACAGTTGTTGTTTTCTGAAAACTATTATGAAAAGCTGAAATGTAAAGTTAGTTGAACAGTTTATCGATCATATATTTTTTCTAAAGTTGGTCATGCAGTCCATATGCTATGATGTCATACGTTCCAAAGAAATGATCAAAGGACTGGGACCTGACCAAAAAATCTCTTCCATCTACTCTATCTCTTCTAAACTTGTATCATTCTTAATATAAGAAGCTTTGTAAATCGAATCTATATAATGTAAGGAACAAGAGTACCTAGACGACCACCTTGTTATTTACTATTATTTGTAGTCGCCCCCTGTCTCTCACCCGACTTTGAAGGTCTAGCATATGGTTCAGGAATAGCGAAGGAGTAAAATACCATTCGAAAGAAAATATAAATGTTTTCGTTTCGCTTAAGTATTGAATCCACTATAGTCGATGGTTGAACTGTATGTTCCACCTGTGGCCCCTTTGCAGATGCTTACTTGATGAATCTACATACCACATGTTAACAAAATATTAAGATTATATGTCAAATTATTTTGACGCTATAGAAATAGATACTTCAATAAAATGTACGCAAAAAAGGTATGAAGCTCACTGAAATTGCAACATTGTGGCGACCGTTGGAGGGTGTGCAGTTTCTATGATTTGCAATTAGTCCAAATTAGACACTCAAATAAGTCGTATGGCTTACTTGTCAAGCAAGTCGTCATGTAGTATCCAACGGTTTGTCATCAGGCGAGACGGAAGACTAGTGTCCACAGTCGTTTTATCATTCAGATTTAAAAATCGAAGATGGGCGATAATGTATCTATGCGTGGAATGATAATCTTCAGCAGTTCGCAGACCGTTTCTTCAATTATCCGTAACTAATTGAACCAATCGTCGGGTTTCATCATTAAATCATTAATCAGGTTGATATGAGATATCTCTGACATCAAAAAAAGCTATTTTTGACCACTTGGCTCGATTTCGTTGTTTCCTTTTTATAAGTAATGTACCTTCTGTGGCTGCTAATAAATTATCGTAGATTTTTAAAACCGCAGGGATAAAATGGATTGTCTGAGGACATTCCGTCTAGATTGATGACAAAACATTGGATACCGCTTGACAAGCAAGTCGTACGATTTGAATGACGATTTGGGGTCTATAAATGCATATGTCTACATTTAATGCGGCGATGAGTGGGCTGCCTGTATCTAAAAAAGGTGAGTGCAAAAATTATAGCCATCAGTGTGCTCCTGGCTGGTAACAGGTTTGGAAAATATTTTGATTTTACAGGGTGACCTGAACATACATTTTTGTTTTAATGAAAAGCCCTATATTTTATTACAAATTCCAAAAGAAGCAATTTAAAATGTTTGAGATATTGGACAATATATCGATAAAAATGAACACTCAACATTGACAACTCGCACCTTCACAATTGTTATAGCTAGAGTATTGAATCTCTCGTCCAAAAAATTTGTGATCTCACATTTGAACCCTCAGTTTATTTAATAGGGTGGCTTAAGGGGCAACTTGGCTCTAATTACATTTCTGAAGTACTCGACGATCAGGGACAAGTTGATGTCATCTACACAGATATTCAGAAGACGTTTGATCTAGTTGATCATTATGCACTTCTGGATAAGCTTAAAACAGTGGGTATGTCTGAAGCAATGCTGTCGCTCATGAATTCATATTTGAGGGATAGAAGGTTATTTGTCGAATATGGTGGTCATAGGTTGAGTTACTATCGGGCCACGTCTGGGGTACCTCAAGGGTCAAATCTAGGTCCATTATTGTTTTTGATATTTATTAATGACTTGTCTTTTGAACTGAAGTGTTTCCATTTGTTTTTCGCTGATGACCTTAAAATCTGCACGTCAGTCAAGTCAGTCGAGGATTGCGTCATGTTGCAAGATGACTTAGCTCTAATTTCGTCATGGTGTTCACGAAACTGTCTCGGTCTGAATGCTTCGAAATGTAAAGTTATGACTTATACAAGAAAGGTTAACTATTTAATTTATGATAATTATAATATCAATGGTCAGGTTATAGACAGATGCACCTCTTATAGAGACCTTGGAGTTACTTTTGATACCAAGCTAACGTTTACTGAGCATATACTCAATATCTCGTCGGCTGCCACTCGACTACTTGGTTTCTGTATCAGAAACTGGAAGGGTTTCTCCAATGTTGATACATTAATGACTTTATTTTTTACTTTTGTCAGGAGCAAGTTGGAGTATGCGACTCTGATCTGGTCTCCTATATACCAAAATTCTTTCGTGATCCTTGAGGCCATTCAACGTAAAGCTTTAAAGTATTTTCACCTTAAATGCACAGGTTCTTATCCAGAAAGAGGTTGTGACCATAGTGCCCTATTAGAGTTTTTCAATTTGGATTCACTGTCAACAAGACGAAACATATTTGCTTTGTCGTTTTTGTATGGCCTCAATCACAATAAAATTGACTGTCAAAATTTACTTGAAAAAATATGTTTCCGCGTTCCAAGGCTATGGAGTCGACAACAAACGGCATTCTATTCTCAAGCTGGTCGTACAAATGTTATGACAAAATCGCCAATTAATCTCATGTGCTGTGTCATGAACAGTGTTACTGAATCGTGTGATATTTACAGTGACAGTTGTGCATCGATTATTAACTGCTATAGATCATCCAATCTTATTTAGAATGTGTGATACTATAGATTTAAGTCCAAGAACCATGTCTCTTTAATTGTTGTTTTTTTCAGCATTTCCTGTAATTGGGTTTCACCTGTTGGAAATAAATAAATAAATAAATAAATGCTTTGTTCTGGTATACGGGTATGCTTTATTGGGGTTGGTACGACTGTTTACTAAAAACCCAGGGTACACCTTCTTGACTTTTCGACTTAATTGCATAAGGCTACGCAGATTTTATTCATAATGGATATATACGTCAATTAAACTCAAAAACTAGTCATACAATTATATGTAAGCCTTATATAAAAAAGGCTGCATAAATGGCAATCCAGAAATGTGAAATTATTCAGCTTGCTCTAATTAAAGGTATCGTGAAACTATTCATTTTGCGTTCTTGATCACCCGCAAAAAAGGTTGGAACAGGATACAGTGGGCCATACAATTTTTCTGGCGACACATTCAGCACTCTAGCAATAACAGCTGCGAAGGTGCAAGCTGTCAAAATGGAGTGCTTTTTCAATAAAATGGGTCAGGGATAAGTCAACAAGATTGGCTGTGCATTGTACACGGTGTTTCAAAATATGAAATTGAATATGCATGAAGCATGAAAAGATTTGAGTAAGGTTTCTATAAAAATGCCCTACGAACGTCTCGTACAGTGATGCAGACCTCTGAAAGGCGTCTCCCTAGAAAGGCTTTAATTTGAGAAAAAAAATCGATAACTGTCTAATATATCTGCTACTTATTGGCACATTTTGACGATTTTTGACTAAACGTCTCTCAAAGGCCTCGATACCAGTGTAGAATGGGCTCGCAGTTGTTATAGACCCTTATTATTCTCTGCATTCCACATATGTATATCCGAGAGACTGCTCCTTCACATATTCTGTGAAACTGTACATATACACTGAAATTTTAACACCAAATTAATGATGACGTATATTTATATCTATTGCAATATTATTTACGTATTCCATTTGACGTCATCTAAGTACTCTATAGAAAAGTGAAACCCGAGTCATCTTAACCAAGGCAACGTCTTTATAGCTAAAGAACCAGTCCTATAAGAAAAGGCGATGAGGTGCTCTACCCCAAAGATAAAAGGCTCTAACACTAGTGGTCGTTTGATATCACTCTACAATGCTAAGGCCATGCCAGGCACCAACTTATTTGTGTTTTGAAAGCGGTGCGCGTTTCAATCGAGCACGTCTTAAAACAGAAGAGTAAACACCCGTTTCGTTCGGTGTGACTTCAATCTAACCAAACTAGGCTTTTCTTGTGCCTCAAGGCGGGTCTGACGGCTCATCCTTGTCTCTTAACGCCTTCAGGAGATGGCTTCGGAGCTCAGACTCTGAGCTTCTCCAGAGGAGTACCAGCTCGTCCTTAGAAAGCCTGCAAAACCATTAAACGTCTCTAGTATAAAAAAACAGTTGGGAAAGGAAGGAAAGGTTTAGTGGATTATGTCCAAGCATCTCTCACCCGCAATAACCTGACGCTTCCAGACATACGTTATAAATTTGAGAAATGAGATACGTTCTTAAAATACAGAAACAGACCAAATATACTAAGTGACATATAAATCCGAACACCCAGTTTAAATGGTTTTATTTTAATAAAATTTTGTAGAAGTACTTAATGAAGTATAATAAATAAATGATAAAAATTTCAAAATGATTGCACTGCTTTAAAGCTCTTTGACCTTTAATAATGTGTGGATACACCCTGATGTGCTACGCATTCTCCAACGCGCATAGGTATGCTTCTGATCAGGTGGTCAATGTCCTCCTGTGGTATCTCATTCCAGGCAACCACCAACTCCTCTCGAAGTGCTTCTAGAGTCTGAGGAGGACGTTGCAAATTGAGCAATCTCCTACCCATCATATCCCACACGTGCTCAATTGGAGATAAGTCGGGAGATCTTGGTGGCCATGGTGACAATGTGACATCATTATGTTGTAAGAAGTCTATTGTGACTCTTGCAACATGTGGTCGGGCATTATCTTGTTGAAAAGTTGGATCTGCCAGGGTGTCAAGATAGGGTAAAAGATGGGGTTCTAGAACTTCGTGGATATAACGCTGCGCGTTCATGTTACCTCTGATAAAGATTAAAGGTGACCTGGAACCATAAGCTATAGCACCCCAAACCATAACTCCAACAGTGTGATGAACATGTCTTTTAACAGAAAACTGTGGATTCCTCCTTTCACCACGTCGCCTTCTGACCCTGGCACGACCATCCTGCATGCCTAAACAAAATCGAGACTCGTCACTAAAGATAATACTGTTCCATTCCTGATCCCAGAGTGACCGTTGTCTGCACCACTCAAGGCAATCACGTCCGTGTTCTCGAGTTAAAGGGAGGACCCAGTGTGGCCGGTATCAAAACAAGCCAAAACTTCTCATTCGTCGGTAAACACTTCGCTTGCCAATAGGTCTTCCGTGTTCTACAAACCATTCATTTGCAATGGACCTGGTAGTGGAGAAACGGTCCCTTAAGGCCAATAATCTTAGGCGGCGATCTTCACGGTCTATTGTTCTACGGCGGCGTCCAGTGCCCCTTGCTCTTTGCGTACGGCCTTCTCGAAGCCATGCCTGACAACACCTAACCACAGTGTCTACACTTCTTTGCAATTGCCCGAAAAGAAAGTCCAGCTTCCCGAAGTCCCACTATACGGCCCCTATCAAACTCACTAAGTTGACGAAATCGTACAGGTCTCCGTACTCTAGGCATCGTAACCGATCGTAAAGGATGTCAAGAACCAAAATCCGCCAACGTTGATTCTTTACTGCGGCTGAAATATTCATTTTTAGAGCGTTAGTGAATTAAAAAGAAGCAGTATAAAAACCGGAATGTCCAACTGATAAGGCTGAAAATTTTTTCACTTGTTATTTACAGTAAGATAAATACATTCACCAATTTTTATTAAAATAAAACCATTTAAACTGGGTGTTCGGATTTATATGTCACTTAGTATACTATTATAAAGCAAATAATAAAAATCAAGGCACTCATAAGAAATTATACACCGAGTCATTCAAATATAAATTTGGGCGTCTTTAGTGAGGCCGTTAAGACCATTACTGTTACCTGACGGGTAAGAAGCACATGCACGTACATAATCAACGAACCTTTCAAGGGGAGACCTCCCATCCGAATTCCTCGGTGAACAGTTTGGAGGGGGAGGCGCAGGAGGTAAGTCGTCCTCTTGCAACCTCGATCGAGACCTTGATCTTGGTTTATCACCAGGATTGCTGTCCAGAGATTTGGAATGTTCTGGTGGCCGAATCCTTTTGCTTGGCTCTGGTGGTTGGCTTGACGTTTCTCCGAGACTTTGATGCCGCATCTTGCTTCTTCTCAGGGGTGGATGACGCGCTGGTGCTTGAGGTTCATCCTACATGAAACAGCAGATATCTTAGAAATTAGGTAACACATTGAATGAAGAGAACAGCATTTTATATCTTAGACTCCGAGATCTTTGAAGGCGTGGTCTTTGTCTTTCTGTTGCTTCGTATATTGTTTCAATATCTCCTTTGGGTATGGGATTGGGTTACGTAAATTGGATGAAAATCCTCTCCGCCAAACAAATACGTTAGTTCTAAACATTCAACCCTTACACCGACCTTTAAATCGTAAATCGTATCACGTAACGGAGACCACAGAGTACCAACAACATGCTTTCAGCAGGTGTAAGAATGTACCTGTCCGATATTTGTCTACGTGTTCTCTTACAGTATATTCAGATAAGAGATAGACCGGATGTAAACAAAAGGTTCGGGTGATTTTCACGCTAACGCCGCCGTCTCGATGTAAAACAGGAGCCCTCATTGGTCAATTCGCAATTAAATCCCTATGCCGAGCGGCAGAGAAGTCGTATCAAGGCAGAGTCACATTCAGGTTTAGACGTGTTACGTATGTCGTGTGCATCATTGCAATTTGATATTTCTTTGGACGTTTTCGTTTGTTATCTTATTAAGTTGTTGAGTTTGTCGTTGTTATTGTTATACCTTGTTATTGATTATTATTGTTATCAACAGCTTGCGCAAAATGCCCAGTAGTACAGATACTGCCGATGAAGTTTTAAACTCCTGTAGTCCACCTAGGAAACGCTCTAAAAAAAGACACCTGAGTGCAGAAATGAAAGAGGTCATTTTGAATATATATAAGATCGAGCGCGAGGAGAACGAGGCATCAACCATAAAAGAAATTGTTGTGAAGGTTTCTCACAAAGTTGGGGTGTGTCGCGCATCAGTGTTTAATGTGTTAAGACAATACAAAAAAAATCACACCTTTTCTGAGCCAATGACCAGTAAACATCGCAAAAGTATTGTTAAATCATTGGATGAAGCTGATAAGCATGCGATTAGGAGGAAAGTGCATGAATTCTTCTTTAGGAATGAAATACCTACTATAGATAAAGTACTGCAGGAGGTAAATGGAGATACAACGTTGCCAAATTTCAAACGATCAACATTCCATGCGTTACTGAAGCATTTAAATTTCAAATGGAAAAAACGGGGTCGTAATAGTTTACTACTGGATAGAGAATAAATTGTGCTATGGAGGAGGGATTATTTAACAAAAATTGGGAAATATAGAAATCAAAACAGGAAGATTTATTACCTTGATGAAACGTGGGTAAACGCAGGACATACTACAAGTAAAGTATGGGTTGATGATTCTGTAACTTCATCCAGGAGGGCCTTTCTAGATGGACTGTCCACCGGATTAAAAAATCCAGCAGGTAAATACGAGTAATAGACAACAATCGGATGTTTTTCAAACCTTGGGAACAAGGTTCTAAACATTAATTCCAGGGGGCAGATAAAACATATTACAAGTAACAAAACTTTTATAACGTTCGATAAAATGCGTGGATGTTTTATTGTCATTTTCATTTGTTAGAACTTTTTTAAGCCATGTTTTTATGTGTTTTCGATATTTCAATAATTTTTTAATATAATCTTAAAATATGTCGAATATTATAAACTTAAAAAAAGTTACTAAGTTTTATATTGTGTACCGTTCCTAATATTTCTAATCATTTTAATTCATACTTTAAGCTTTATAAAGTTATAATTTGTTAATATTAATATTTGCGCGTATTTCAGGTTCCTGATCATTCATTTTTTAAAGGTTTATAACTTTAAATTAAATTGTGAAGCGCTGAGTAATCATACGACGTTCAATATTCTTTCTTTCAATATTACTAAATAATCCCAATTATAGCAATCTGATACTCATGTCTCAATGTTTTTTCGCTGAATGTGATGAAAACATTAGAAAAAGGTTCGCTTATTGAAATAAATCTATATCAGTTAGTACTTCGATTTCCAGGTAAAAGGGAAAAGGCTCATTATCTGCCATATTGGCAGTGAGGATGGATTTGTTGTTGACGGTCTGTGGTGCTTTGAGTCTAAGAAAACTGGAGATTACCACGAGGAATTGAATGGCGAATCGTTTGAACAGTGGTTTTCAAAAATTTTACCGAACGCAGTAATTGTGTTGGATAATGCGCCTTATCATTCTCGAAGAATGGAGAAGGTCCCAACAACGGCTTCAAGGAAAGTTGATGTTCAAAATTGGCTCCGCTCGAAAAATATCAACTTTGAAGAAGCAATGCTGAAAGTACAATTATTAAGAATTGTCAAGGATCACAAGGCGGAATATCAAAAATACGCCATTGACGAAATGGCAGCAAGTCAAAATAAAACTGTGCTCCGTTTACCTCCATACCATTGCGAGCTCAATCCCATTGAGCTCATATGGGCAGAGGTTAAAAATTATATAGCTAAGCACAATACAACTTTTAAATTTTGTGACCTCAAAGGACTTTTCAAAGAAGCACTAGAATTAATAACAGCACAAAAATGGGAAAACTGTATTAAGCACGTGAAAGACAAAGTTGAAAAGAGAATGTGGGAACTGGACAATATTTTAGAGGAACAAGTCGAGCCATTCATTATTGACGTTGGTGCTTCAGGCAGTAGCGATGATGAAAGCTCATCAAGCTCATCTTTCCAATAAAAGATGTCGTTCATCAAATTCTGTAAGTTATAAGTAATTATAAAGCTACTGTATTTTTTAATTAATTATTGACATTTTTGAACCCATTTTGGCAAAACCTATTCAAGAATCTACTTTCTGACAATGTTCAACCATGCACATTTTTTTACGTTTTGAACGTTTTAATTTGGTTACATATTTACCTAGAAATCAAAAAATATAATAATCAATATTCTAAAAGCAATTTTAAGAGATATACGATTATTTTTAATTTAGGCTAATTTAAACGCCATTTTGAGATTATATTCGACTGTATTTCACCAAAAATCAGGCGGCATCCGAAGCTAGAAATCGAAGCGAAAATTTTGAAGCCCTTATGTATATTTACATCATTATATATTTCTTACCCCACCCCCACATGATCCTATATCCATCACCAATCGTATACACATGGAATTGTGCTAATTTACCAAAGCTACGCAAAGCAGCATCTACTATCTAAAATATGGACTGCGTGACTCTTAATACGTCCCTGCCGAATGTTACAGCGTTCGATGATCACGTGGTCTTGTTTATGTCCGGTCTATCTCTTATCTGAATATACTGTAGTCTAGAGAAAGCATGTACAATCTGGCAACACCGCATGGGGGGTATCTGGGAACGTCCCTCATCTACGACGTCTCAACCCCCTGGGATTTCATTGAACCCCATGTAATTCGTACCCTATAGTCGGCGAACAGTTACTTATCAATATCCCTTAGTAGATCAGCAGAAAGTTTATTCACCTCCTCTGCAAATAAAACTAGAGCTTATAAAATTTTTTGTGAAAGCGTGAGATACAGAAGGAAATGCATTCCTTGATTTGAGACGGAAATTCCCCCGTATAGGTGAAGCGAAGCTTAAAGAAGGAATTTTCGGTGGACCTCAAATACTAGAACCAAAATTTTAAAACTACTAAAGATATATGTAGCAAGTTCCTAGACAACAAAAAGTTTGACAACAACAAACATCTAGCTGAAGAACTTATCCAATCTTATAAAGCCTTAGGTTGCAATATGTCACTTAAGCTGCATTTTCTTCACTCACATTTAGAGCACGGCGAAATATTTCACCAGCAAATTGCTCAGATGGAGAAGAGCTATAGTGGAAGATGGACCCCAAACAAGCTAGCGGACTACTGCTGAACCATTAAATATGAAACCGCTTCTGGCAAATTCAACCGAAAGAAGGCAACGAAATCAATTGTTTGGTTGGTTTTTCATACAATAAGGAGTATATTTTCTGAAAAAGTGGATTTGCTGTTTTTTTTTAATTTTTAGAAATTCAGTATTAGATCGCTTATAATTTGGGATTTCCTTATTTTATATTCACCCGTCGCTAAAAACTTGTGGGTGATAGCGATAAACTGACTGCATATTAGATTTCAGTACAACATAGTAGATACAAAAAACCCGAAAAGATTTCGGAGAGCGACAAAAATTTTCAGAATGCCGAACTGTATTATTTTACCTTAGTGGTATCTTCCACTTCAATCCTTATATGTGGATTGGTATTCTGCCTATTCCCTTGACTACTCTTGCCCTGTTGTTTGGCAGCATTTTTTCCTATAAGTCCATGGAACTGTTCAATTGTCTGCTTATTTCTCCTAGCTATCTCATCATCCGACAGGTTGCTTTTATCATTGGCATCTGAGACGTTGTTGAAACTTCTGGCTGTCACTATTTGATCTGGCCTTTCTGCTAAATTGTAAATTTTATAGTAAGTGATATAATAGTCAACTTCTCATTCTAAGAGGAATACAGTGTTATATTGTAGTCAAATACCGACATGAGGCTTAGTTTCTGAACGCATTGTACGCTACTGTTAACAGTAGGTACTGAAGAGCCGTCCACACGTATACAAAGAAGAAGTGACGTACAGTGAGTTATTTCACTGTTATTTTGAAGCTGGATTTCTGTCAGTTCCAGGTTCAAGACGTTGTAATATGTATCTCAAATCTCATGAAACAGTAAAACCGTAGGACGAATACGATTTGTTTGCTTTCATCTCCGTCACCATGACCAACCGAACGTTCTTCTATGCATACATGTCTAATCCCCGAAAAAGTTTGCTTGATGATTGATTTTGTTTACCTTTAGTCAACGTTTCGTCACTCTTTCCAAGTGTCAAGCTATACTGTGGTTGCAGTCGGTGCTTATCTATCGAGTCTTGGTACCTCGGTATCGTTGCTAACTTCTTACCGATGCTCTCAGAATCAGATAGCTTTCTCATCGGTTCAGAATACTTGCTGCAGTCTGAGAGGTTTTCTATGGATAAAATGGGGCTCTTACCTAGTTTTGTCCCTATAAAAGAGAAACAATCATTGTCATAATGCAAGATAGAATAGCTGAGAGACATTTACTTTTATGAGTTCACTGCAGCCATCAGTTTACTCATGTAATTTGGAATCATTTGACTCCGTTTGGGTAGTTACAAATTCTGGGTTAAAAAAAGGAGAAGAAAGGTATTAGAGACAATACTTAGAGGTGTAGTGTACTCATGTACGAGTATATAAAAATTGTCACTGTGTAGTTTGAATTAGGTTGACCAAAGATCCTTGCTATCAACTCAGCGAGTTCTTTAGCTCCTTGCAAAGTATCCCTGCGATAATATTATAAATGGGAAAGCGATGACATTTCATACTCAATCATGACATAATGGCTGAACGGATCTGGATGAAATTTGGTATACAAATAGATTAAATTCTCGAATAGCACATAGGCTACCTTTTATCCATGGAAAAAACTTTGAATTATCTATTTGACAGGCTACAGGCCAAACGGCTCAATGAAATTTGACATCAGGTGACTGGCGAGGATGCGCTCAGTCGCTGGTCCGACTAGAATGAGTAAGGATATATAAATAGTTTATGTGCGACGTGAATTTTCTGCATTTCGACATTTGCTTGCTTAGCATAATCGCAATGAATCAGATTAGTTTAGTGTTTTGTTTCACTTCAAGTATAGTCATACGAATGAATAGTTATTGGCTTAATGCAATGAGATTGTAGAAAGGTTGTTTTTTGGTATGCATACAGGTTCCAAATAAATACTGCTCTTATATCATCGTTAGCTCAACCCGTTGCCATTAAAGATCTCGATTGATAAATACGATTTGATACATCGGCTTACTATTCACTTTACTTACTTTTATTTAGGTACACTCTGTGGATAAATTGTTATTAAGTTAGTTGAGTGCTTTGCATGTTATAGTTATCATATTATAGTTAGATTTCTCATAGGTATCTGCTCAGATTTGATTTGATATAATTCGGGAGATCTAACCTATGTCCAAAAATTTTTGACACAAAATATTTATAGGATTCTTTTTAATGAACAAATTTATTTAAACACGAACTTGCTATCATAAATTACAACTCAATACTAAACTAAATTATACTATCGAATTATGTAGAGTGGCCCATTCTGCTCTATCAGACGCAACTTTCTTCAAATGTCTCTCATGAGGTCCCGGACGGAATTCAGATCAAATTCTCTCAGTTTTTCGTGAACTCGCCATAATTGTTCTTCATCTTGGGCGTGCCAGCCTCCACGATAAACCTTCCTATTCAGTGAAGCCCAAAAATCCTCACTGGGCGAGCCTGCGGCAAGTTTGGGGGATTATCGTTTTTGGGAACAAAAGGTGTGTTGTGATTTAGGTTTTTCGGGCTGTTGAGCCGTGGTCGGGTTGGATTTAGTCCAGAGCTTTCGGCTACATTTACGGTGGCGCTGTCGGTGAGCGCGAAGTGCTCGGCTTGGCGGATCGACTGAAACTGATCGGTTAACACACACACCCTCCTACCCTGTACGTTTTGTTTAAAGCAAGGTCTTCTTTTCTATTGAAGTTATCATTGTGTTTGTAGATTTCAATTGCTTCTCCGTACATTCGGGCTGAGCAGTGGGTGGATGTTGATAGGACTTCACTTCGGTCGAACAGAACATTGCGGCCGTCTTGGAGTGCGTGTTCGGCTACCGCTGATTTATCAGTTTGTCCCTGTCGACAGTTTCTTTCATGCTCCTTGACGCGTGTTTGGAAGCTAAGTTTAGTGGTGCCTACGTATACTTTACCGCAGGAACACGGTATCCTGTATAAGCCTGCACCTCTGAGGGGGTCCCTAGGGTCCTTTACTGAAGTTAGGAGTTGCAGGATCTTATTTGTCGGCTTGTAGATAGTCTTGACGTTGTATGTCTGCAGCAACCTTCCTATTCTATTCGTGATGCCTTCAATGTATGGTAGGAAAGAGACTCCCGCAGGTGGTTCCTTGTCTCCTGCCGGTTGTCTGCTTTTTTGTCGTGAAACCTGTTCTATTTGTTCCCTGCGATAGCCGTTTGCTTGTAAAACCACGTTAACATGATCCAGTTCCCCCTGCAGATATTGAGGTTCACAAATTCGATGTGCCCTGTCTATCATATTTTTAATGACACCTCTTGTTTGCCCAGGATGATGGTTGGAGTCCTTGTGTAGATATCTGTCAGTGTTTGTTGTTTTGCGGTAAACCCTGTGACCCAGCTTTAAATTCTCTCGTCTGTTTAGGTGATTTAGGAACACTGCTAGTTCTGTTCTTCCGCGGCTCCATACCACGAAGGTATCATCCACATACCGTAGTCAACAACTGGAACGATTGGGAGCGGTGTTCATTGCTGCGCCCTCGAGCCTTTCCATGTAGAAATTGGCTATTACCGGGCTTAGCGGACTTACCATTCCCACTTCGTCAGTTTGTTCATAAAATTGGTTGTTCCACTGGAAGTATGCAGTTGTTAGGGTGTGTCGAAACAAGGTCAGGATATCCTCTGGAAAAACTTGAGGCTGAAGCATGTTCGTTAGATGTTTCGCTAGTTGATAAGTAGGTGACCCGATCGCAATGAAAATAGGTCTAAGGGGGACCGATAGCTTGTGAATTTTTGGTAGGCCATACAATCTGGGTGGAAGGGCTTCTGATTTACATAACGATTTTTTCACCTCAGGGTAATGACGACTGTTTAATGAGTAGACTGGTTTTTTCAGGAATATCCGCATTGTGTCATTGCGGAGGGCTTTATATGTCCAGTAATTCTTCTATTTTTGTCTGATAGTTTACCTTGTTCAGGACTACGGTGGCGCTTCCTTTAACAGCCGGTAGAATCACTATTTTCTTATCGTCCTTAAGCGTCCTAATCGGTCTGTTTCGCTTCGTATTTCCTTACTTATAAGCAGACCGCCGGCACGAGATTAGGAACCACCTGCGGGAGTCTCCTTCCTACCATACATTAAGGACATCACGGATAGAATAGGAAGGTTGCTGCATAAACACAACGTCAAGACCATCTACAAGCCGACAAATAAAATCCAGCAACTTCTAACTTCAGTAAAGGACCCTAGGGACCCCCTCAGCGGTACGGGCGTATACAGAATACCGCGTTCCTGTGCTAAAGTATACGTAGGCACCACTAAACGTAGCTTCCAAACACGCATCAAGGAGCATGAAAGAAACTGTCGACTGGGACAAACTGATAAATCAGCGTTGGCAACTCGCACTCCAAGACGGCCACAATGTTCTGTTCGACCAAACTGGAACACCCCAACAGCCGAAGGTCGTTTATTTTCTGGTTCATAACAGTAAATCCACGATTCATCACAACTAACAATGCTGTACACATTTTTTGAGTTTCCGGAACGGTCAAGCTTTTTTTGACATCAATTAACCCTGGCTGCTTTCTGCTCTCCAGTCAACAGGTGGGGTATCCAACGAGAAACTAATTTTCTTACTCCTAACTCTTCATGTAAAATTTTTTGAATTGCGGTCTTTGAGATGTTCAAGGACGCCTCAATCTCGCGATATGTCACATGTCTATCTTCAATAATGAGCTTGCGCACAGCATCGACGTTTTCGTGGGTGACTGCTGTTTTTGGTGCACCCACCCTGGGATCGTCGCTAAGACTCACCCGTCCACGTTTGAATTCTCCATACCAACGGGACATTATCGACTGATGTGGCGCTTCGTTGCCGAAAACAGACAGTAACTCAGCCAAGGCATTCTTGTTGCGATAATTGTCTCTGAAAGTTGTAATAGATTATGGCGCGAAAATGTTCTCGGTTGAGTTCCATTTTTCTAATAACTTAGCGACACTTAAACATTTACTGTAGCGAGAACACTGCACGTATTGTTGTGAAATTTTGAATTTAAGTTTACTAAATAGTGAGGTTAAGATTCAGTACTGACGTTCGATCCGCGCGGCCTACTATGTTTCTATATGCAAAACTTAAAAGACATCCCTCGTATGTCAATACTGAGATCTGAAGTGACGTCCAAATCAGTGTATCTCTTGGTGTACTCTTACCTATATCCAAATAGCTAGACCTTCTGCTATTGATATCAGGAGGTGAAGCAGTCAAGAAAGAGGAAGCATCCCGACTGAGTCTCCTGCCAACTGCAGTACTGTGATCCTGTTTCAAGGTTTGTGAATTGAAAACACTATCCGTACTGAAACGACGTACGTTTAGAGTGGTGGAGCTTTTCGCTTTGTTGTTGGAGCGAGGACTGAATAATTGTCTGTTGAAATAGGTCGTTGGAGACTTCTTGCCTCCAGCTTGATCTGCCTTGGGACTGGACCTGAGAACGAATGAAAGTACCTGTTGATGATGATGATAACAAAAATACCATGTAAGATATTAGGTGAGTCCAACGGTGGTTGAGACATAGCTCCACATTGTTCGCACACAATCTTTTGCAATGACATTAAATTTTGGCCTTTGAATCCCCGATAATAATTACTACAATACACTTACCTAAGGAATGTCCTTCGTATGATACTGGGACTTAGTTTTGTCCTCCTTTCGTCTGGTGAGAGTTGGTACTCGGAATCAACTTCGGTTAGTGACTCCAGTTTTGGTTCTCGTTCTTCTTGTTGCTGTCTGCGAAGAGTGCTTCATTTTTAATAGTAATTTTATGTCAGCTAATTTGGAATTTTGAGCACATAGCTATTAGGTGTACAGACATAGCTCATAACTTATCATTCAGAATCATCTAGCTCGTTTTTGTCAACCTTTTTGGTACAGAGACGAGGAATATAAAACATGAATTACCTCTAAGAAATCTTGAATTTTATGTTAACCCTAAACGATGTTTTAAGGTCAATTTGACGGTGACATATACGAATCTACAATATAGTCAAAATTACGAAAGATGACTATTACATCATACCCTAAATTGTAATGAAGTAATCAATGGACGTACGTCGATGATAAAATCAGGATGTCAAGAACTTAATGACATCAAATTTATATTATGATTTTGCGAAGTGAGGTTATTTCACTGATTATTTTTATTTTCATTTTATTTCATGGTTTTGAGTGATACCTTAATAACAATTTTAGTGTCAAATTTTTGTTTTGAAAAAACAGTTATGAATAGAATACCTTAAGATAGGAACACCAAAGACCAAAGTATTATTCGAAAACAACATAACCTGCTTTAACATAACCTAACCATTCATCTTTCAAATATGATCTATCATGCAACATAAAAACATCGTCTATCTTTGACGGATACATGCAAAATAGCAATACAGTTTGTTTAAACAATAAAATTCTGTTTGTCTCTGTCTAACATATCAGAAACTTCATTAAATATATTCACAAATCGCTGTCTTTACTACAGACTAAAATGATCGTCATCTTTCGTGATTTCGACTATATATTCTGACTTACATAACTTTCATGGATACTCCAAAATTTTAGGTTTAGTTAATATAACAAAATGTACAAAGGTTATTGGACTTCGGTGGTCAACTTGACGTGAAAAACTGATGATTTTTTTTTAAAGTTTTAAGCTAACCCTCAGAAACTTTCAATGCTAACGTCAATGTTAAACATTGCAAGACGAGGATCAGCATTGCGTGTTTGTTTGTTTGTTTCAGATTTATTTAGCATTAATGCTACAATATCCATAATATCCATGTTACACAGTATATCACATAATATATTATGCCATCAAGACTACATATTTTTTACAAAATTTAACTACTATGAATTCTGGTCAACCGTCAGATATTTTTTCAATTTCCCCTTGAACATTTTCCAACTGACACACATCTTGATATCATTACTTAATTTATTAAATTCGTACAATTCCACGTAGAAATGCAGCAATCAGGTACTAAAGATTACTCAGGACGGATATGGAAGCTTGAGTTTATAGTACAACAGCATCTGGGAGTAATTCAGTTAAAATATTTTCAAAATAGTAGCATCTTCGCTTGGTTATTTGATTCTACGCTAGATTTTAAATACGGTTCATGAATACGGTTCTATAGCTAAGTCTAACCGTTTTACAAATATCTAAAAGTTTCTGTCATAAATCACAAACTTAATACAAAATCAACCTTATTTTCACTGCTCAAGATAAAAGATTTTTGATACTTTTTTTTTAATATTCGGGACTAGTTGTTGTCCAAATTCAGAATGAAGCTTATCAGAGCAGATCCCCTCATATAAGAAACCCGTGGCAAATGCAAAATTCCAGAAAGTATTGGTATAATTCCATGGTCCGCATTTGTCATCTGAAAAACGGTAAGACTTATGACAATGGTATACACGAAATATATTCAGAATCCCGGGTGAAATCCAAAAATTGAATAATACCTATACAGAATCATGGACGCCCGCAGACATTTTTCTCAGAAGTGCCAATCGTAGGCAAGAGACAACCGTCTGTGGAAGTGTACCTGCTCCCCAAACATTGTTGAAGAACAGAAATGTATCTGACCTCTAACACATTCAAATAGCAGGGTGTCCTATTTACAATAAGCAAGGTGATAGCTACTTTAAGCTGCATTGTTTCTATCAGTTTTGCATAACCGTCTAACGTCAACTTTTTGAGTAGTAAATTGCTGCAGCTCTAAGCGGGATACCCTGTATGTATAAGCCCGCCCTTTGCTATATCCATTTTCTCCAAATAGCTATATGCTCTGATCTCTAGTCCAACAGATGAACCTACCTCCTTATCTCCTGTATCATCTCAAAAAATTGTGCTTTGCTCTTTCTACGCCTGCGTTGTTCGTGTTCCTTCTGAAACAAGAATCATCAAGGGAATCCCATAATAATCCGACTGATAAGCGGCCAACGAATACTAGAAGCAGCAAAGGTACAAAAATTCGAATAATGGTATCTACGAGAATACTACGTTACCAAAGCAATTTTATTTTGGCTGCTAATATCAAGTAGAATTAGTTGTACATGCAAGATGTAACAAAAAGTGTTCCATGTTCGACTAAAACAACTGAAATCGCAAAGGCAAGGTCTGTCCTACAGGCTATGAATTTTGCTAAAACCGATGTATGCTAAACGCAATTGCTTACGAATTATAACGTCAAAGAAATGACAGCATTTCCCAGTTTTTATTAGCAGTATGGATGTTGGGATGTAAAAAGTAGAGATTCTATTAAACACAGTTGGAATAAACTTCGAACTTATAAAGGGTTATTGTTTTACATAGTATAAGGACTTATGTGTGTTGAATATATGGGCGCCCGCAACAGGCCGTGCTTCCCCTGAGAATAGGCGTTCACATCAAAATTTGATCATTTAACATGATTTGAACACAATTTTGGATTTTTTTGGACATGACTCTGACCGAGAAAATTTGCATATCTACGTGTGAGGGCGATGGACGTATGAAAGTTATTCGTATAGTTTCACTATGACTCGCCAAAAACCATAAAAATGCCTATAGATAAATCATACTGTGATTTGAAATTGTATCCTGTCAGTTCTATTATGCCAGTTTGACAGCTGAGCTCTATGTATTTAGGAATATTTTGAAAGGATTAAGAAGTAACCAATCTTGAGTATCTTTATGTCATTCCCCTTCTTGAATACCCTAATAAACGGCATTATGTTTGAAAACCGACCTTAGTGTTAAAAACAAGATGGCTGTACCTTAGTCCCTTTGGATGGATCAGTCCAACGAATTCGAGTAGATTAGGAGTCAAGTCTAAATGTTTTGTTTGTCGACAAAATTGACGATGTTTTAGTGCATCTTCTGACTATACCTACCAAAGCGACAGTATTCTATCAACATAATAATGATACCAACCGGTGGATAATCTATCTTGTGATGCTCTGTGCAAATTATGTAAGAAATAGTACGTCGTGAAATCGTTCGACACCACAATTATCTGCAGACACTCTCGCTTTTTTTAAAAATAACACTAAACTACGAATTTAATGACAACTGTAAAAAAAATTACTTATGTCAAGTACACTGTGATTCTCACTACAGAGAGAATAAGAAGACAAACAAATGCTTTATTGGCTCCCACGACCTAGTCCGAATTTATTGGACCAGTCCAAATCAAATCTGCTGGCTATTGCATTCGTTAAATTTGAGTTTTGTCATTCTGATGACAGGTAACTAGATATCTTAAAGTATTTGGAAAATGAGTTGGAACTGTCATGATCGTGATAATATTTTGTGATATATAGTGTCAGTAGTGAAAAACTTCTATACGTACCTCGTTTGAGAAGTATCTACTTGCCTAATAATGGCCGCTTTCTCAAACATGGTATCTATTTTCTACTATTGTACTATGTTACATCTACAGGAGAAGTGCGATACGAACCCTTTTGATACTCTTCTGAAATAGGCTTGTTATCTGTCCTTGTCTAATGGTGTGTACGAGTTCTCTAGCAGCATGGTGAGGGGATACCAACTCCACACAGTTGATAAATCTGTACAATTTCTGGAACAAATAAAATCGTGTAAGATTCTTAGAAACCCACCGATAGCTGAAAGGTATGTAACATGTTTAGCAATTTACGTAAGCGTGTACCATAATTTCTTAGAATAACTCGAAGAACGGCAACGACATTGCTTGGACAAAAAAAACCTAAAAGTTTCTCGAACGTGAGACCTAAAATACCTCCTCTCTCCAACGAATGTACAACTTTGGCAGTCCACCAGTCTGGCATTTTAAAGGATACTCTATTTTGGAGCTATAAGGTATACATAAATAGCGTTTAATTTTAGGAATTGGTCCGACATGACGCCCAGCCGCCATAATGATATTTTCAGTTTTCACTTTCGCATTAAAATCACAAAGACTAGAGGTAGGAACTTAAACTCTGTAAGGTATACATGTATTCATATAAAGCCAGTCCTGTCGCCAATTGGGGCGTGGCTCTCGGAAATCTAGTGCGCGTAGAACATGACGTTGCTTCGTGGTCCACAGTCATGATGACAGCAACAGAAAGAGAGAGATGCTACACGCGCTGATCCTGAAATCAATTTTCTCTGTCGTGCACATTCAAGACAAATGCCACATGTGCAAAACTTGAAACTCGTTTTATGTGTAGTGTACTTACGAGATAACCCCGCCTCTAGTCTTCGCGGCTAAAATACGTAGTCGTGCCATAAGTTCTGTCCCATGATAATCTCATGATAAAAATGAAACAAGATAAGATATATTTATATGAAAGATATTATTTATTCGACAACATTTTCAGAATTCATAATCAAACAGTTTTATTCAAAATGTCCCCCCTTGGCCTTCACACACTGCTTCAATCTCGCGGGCCACTCATCTATCACTGCACGCACAGCTTCCAAAGGAATAGCTGCCGCTGATCGGATCAAATCCGCTTTCAGGGACTCGATATTACGGTGGGCTTTGGAGCAGGCCAACTGCTCTAGCAGGTCCCACAACTTGTAGTCTAAAGGATTGAGGTCCGGACTCCCTGAGGGCCAATCTTCCGCAGCAATGAACTCTGGCACATTGCTTTCCAGCCAGCGCTGCGTACTCTTAGCCTTGTGAGCGGGGGCGGAATCCTGCTGGTAGACCCAGTGTTGGTTGGCAAACAATGTACCACTTAAAGGCTTGACGATAGGATCCAGTATGTCGCTCTGATAGTTTGCCGCTTTTGTTTTCACGCCCTGTTTACAGAAATGGAGCTGAGTGACCCCTTCGTAGGACACCCCCCACCAAACCATGACTGACGCAGGGTGGTGGCCTCTCTCAACTCTCGGAATGATCTCCGAAGCTTCCTGTGAACTCCTTGCATACACTTTGTCATTTTGTCGGTTGAATTTTTCTTCTATGGTGAAGATTTTCTCATCCGTGAACAAAATCTTTCGGAATCCCCCAGCTGCGTACCTCTCCAAGAGCTTCTTGGATCTTGTCGCCCTGATGTGTCGCAAGGTGGCCGTAAGTCGCTGGCCCGTACGTCTCCGGTAAGCCCCTAGCCCTAGGTCTTGTTTAATGATGCGCGACATCGTCCGGACAGGAATCTTCATTTCCCTGGATAGGATCTTCTGCTTCCGGAGTGGATTCCTTTGAATCCTGGCTTTTACGGCTTTGATGGCTGCTGGAGTCCTTACTTGACGAGGTATTCCGCTCCTTGGCCTGTCATCAACAGAGGACGTCTCATTGTACCGCTGAATGGTCCTAGACACAAATTTACGCGATATTTGAAGGCCGCGTAAGAGTTCAAAAATCTGACTAGCACTGTGATTACACTTATGTAAAGCTATCACTGCAATACGGTTCTCTGCCTTGCCCCACTCCATCGTTATGCTTCGAGAGATCAATACAAACTGAGGTATATGTAATTACCCGAAAAGCGCTTAATCAACTGACACCACAATGTAAACAATCGGACAAGTATTAACAGGTCTACACTTGTTTGAAAACGAGGGACAGAACTTATGGCATGACTACGTATACTTGACGCTTAACCACACAAGCGCACACAAAACAGGCTCATGTCCTAAGACACTTTTCAACATTATTAAAGAATATAAAAAAAAAACAAAATTGTTTCCACCACACAAGAGGCTCCATTACACGAAGCTGTTGGATACAGTTGATAACTTTGATCGGAATGCCATCAGACGCATTAATTTTTTGAGCATTACTGGAGGTAAATAGTGATGAAGAATTTCCTACTTTCAAAAGCCACATTGTATAATTTACTTAAAGAACATCATTGTGAGTATAGAAAATCAGGCAGAAATAGTATTTTGATCGACAGCCAAGAGATTATTTTATGGAGAAGAAATTATTTAAAATCAATAAAGAAATGCCGTGACCAGGGCAGGAGGTTTTATTACCTGGCTGAAACCTGGATAAGTGCACCTTAAGAATGGGCTAACTCTACAATTAAATCAACAAGGCAATCCTTCTTAGATGGACTAACCACTGGCCTAAAGAATCCATCAGGTACGTGTATCTAACGATTACGTCATTTGTGTTGTAAAACGGTGTCAAGTAGACTGAATCTATGAGACCACGCTGAAAGCCTAGCTATACTAGGCTTACCTATATCTAGAAGGTTAGGAACCAACACCTGTTAGATACTCTGCTTGTATTATTATTAGTTTTCTTGAATACTATATGAAATAATTATTTGCAGGAAAAGGAAAACGATTTGTTATCTGTTATCTGAAGATGGCTTTGTGCCCACAGCCCAATGGCCATTTGAATCAGAGAAAACGACCGACACCATGAAGAAATGGACGGAAGTTCATTTGAACGATTGTTTGAAGAAACTCTCCCAAGGCTTGTCGACAATGCCGTCATTGTACTTGATAATGCTGCGTAGCACACTAGAAAACTATAAAAAATTCCCAAAATGTCCACAAGAAAGGCAGAAACAATGGCTCCTATCTAAAGACATTAGTTTCAATGAAAGTATGGTCAAAGCAGAACTTATCCATCTAGTCAGGCAGCACAAATATAAATAGTACCTTAATGTTATTGACGAAATCTCCAAAAACCAAAATAAGGCCGTTTTACGGCTACCCCCTTATCACTGCGAATTAAATCCCATTGAAATGATTTGAGCAAATATAAGAAGCTATGTGGCTTCAAACAATAGAACAATTTTCTGATGTGAAAAGTTTGTTTTTTGAAGCTGTCAACAGAGTCATGGCAAACCATTGGAATCTGGAATCGATATTCAAATTAAACCTGTAATAATTAATATTAAGCTTTCGGACGATGATTCAAGTACTTCCAGCGAATAAAGAATTGTGAAACGTATGTGCACTTCTTTTTATTATTATTTTGTTAGATTATTCCAAGATCATTGAGGAAGATACGGACCTGTACAATCTGGCTTTTGGGCATGTGTTTTGTCTGGGCGTAAATGGGGTATAGTATTACTATCTTATGCCAAACAGTTTACCAAAATGGTGGGCATAGTACTTTTTGCTAACACGGTTTGCTTGGATTAGTTAGGCCGAGCATACCACGTCAAAACTGTGGTGACAAAATTTAAGTAACTATATATAGATATATAATATATTTACTTTTACTCGTTAGTATGTATTAGTTGAGCTAGATTTGTTCATGAACCGTGTTAGTTAACAAACTGTATAAACCAAAGAACTCTTATTCATGCCAGTGACAAATATTCACAGTTTGACCTTATTATGCTAATAAGTAAAGTATTTATTTTCCAAAGAATAGGAATGAAGCCAGAATTCAGTACTTTTTTTGTCACGGAAAATAAAAGTGACGTAGTTGTCCTGTCCCAGACTTAACCAGGACACTAGAAAGTGTATACCAACCTTTCCTCGTTTGCCGAAAGATAAAATCAACACCACTAATGTTTTCTAAACACGTACGACATTTCTAAAATTAAACGCCCTATATCCCTGCACAGAATATGATTAGCAGGAGCTTCTCGTGTATTTTCCGTAGATATTTGCCATCCTCGAAATAACATTACTACCCTTTTTTGTCCTAATAGTGATAGTAGTGCATCATGATACAGTACTGGATGGCTGGAGACATCTCAAACTAGTCGCTAGTTCGTTGTTTTTTACCTATCACGAATAAGCGATTCTTGTTGGTCCTCTTTTTAGCGGTCTGATGAACAAGTAGCCGAGCTAAACAGCGTTCCCGATCCCATTTCCTTCTGTTCCTTGATGGTCGTTAATCTTTTCTGGATAATCTTTTAGGGCCAAGAATAATTAACTAAACTTATTGTGTCCAGATGACAACAAGCATTTATGAAACTACGTCAGCCACTTGCAATATAAATTCCAGAGCGACTCGAATAAGTAAAACTCCGTGGCAGTTTGCCACGAGAGTGCTTCTGTATGTGTTTCATATTTTCTCAGCTTTTACCCCCTTGTTTGATGGCTTCACCCCGGGGTGCCATCAGAAATATACTACTTTTTGTGTGGACGACGAGAAAGTAGTAAAAATAAAGTACAAATACAGCTACGGATAAACTAGAAATGGGGAACAGTGACGTGGTTCAGACTGGGCTATATTCTTCTCAGCGATACGTTGTTGTATTACAGTTAAAATATCGCATAAAGCAGGTTGAAGTTGCACTGACAACACAACGATAGGGGACTTGATATTATTAATTCTTAAATTTGTGTTCATGAAATAGTGGAAAAACTTCCAAGCCCACTCACAACTTTCTATAATTCATGTTATTTTCCAAACTTATTTCAATTTGTAGATTATCTTGTTCAAACTCGGGCGATGTAGTGTTTGTTCGCAAACTATTAGTAAAGGCAAAAGATCATCCACCTTTATTCGAAGTATACTTTGGTTGGAGTCAGTAACATTTTCTGGAAGATCTGGGCATTTCGAAAAATGTATGGACCTGTTTTGCACGTTTCTTAGCTCTATAGTCTTTTTAAGCAGCAAACAAATAGATGCAGGTGAGCTTCAGATTGTTTTCGCCTGATTGTATATATTGTATCACTGGAACGCTCTGCTCG